GGTGGATCAATGGGAGGGATTTACCCAGGCCAGTAATCTGCAAGGATTTTCCCTCCATGGACAATCAGCTGTGCAGGGGCAGGGTGGTGGCACTCCAACTTGGTCTATAGGTATCCACTGGGTGCATTGGCTCTGGGGTTTCCTGGGTGGTGCAGGCCAAGGTCAGCCTCCACCTGTGTTTTGCCCAGGGCCACATTGCCTGAGCTATAAAGCATTCTGGCTCTTACCTCTGCTGAGCTTGGAGATTTCCAGGCAAAGCTAAACTGTGACTCTAGGCTGGCTGCTGCTAGTGTCATACCTGAGGTTCACTGAGGCCAGCTGTTGCTTGTTTGAGAGGATTTAGGAAGTTGTGGAGCATGAGCCAAAATCAGCCATTCGTATCAAAAAGCAGCTTGGGTGGATCCATAAACTAGGTTGGGCAGAGTGTCTGGGGATCTCTAAGGGCCATCAGTGTTAGCCAGGCTGATGGCTCAGATCAGATAGGACACCTGCCTGCTGGCTCTGTGAGGTGAGGGTTTAGAAAAGGGACAATGGTCTCCACTCACCTTGATGCCCCGCACTTCAGTTTCTTCCAGTATAGCACTGGTGCCTTTCAAGCTGCTACCTTGGTGCTGAAGTTCAGAGGGAGTGAGTCTGAGTAAGTCTGTGTGTGGGCTCTTTAAAAGGAACTGCTTGGGGCTCTAGAAGTTTCTTTTATCAGCTCAATCCCTACTGGGTTTTGCAGCCAGAAGTTGTGGGGACTTATCTTCCTGGCACTGGAACCCTGGGATGGGGGTCCTGGTGTGGGGCTGGGACTCCTCCCTCCAAAGACATCCCTCCTGAATTTTTATCCATCACACATGGGTGAGGGACCAGCCTGTTCCATGTCTGCGCCCCTCCTGCCAGTCTGGATGGATGTGGTTTCTTTAATTCTGTAGTTGTCAGACTTCCATTCAGTTTGATTTGACAGTTCTTTTTTTAAAATATATTTTATTAATTATGCTATTACAGTTGTCCCATTTCCCCCTTCACTCCCCTCCACCCTGTACACCCTCTCCCACCCACTTCCCCCCTTTAGTCATGTCCATGTGTCATACTTATAAGTTCTTTAGCTTCTACATTTCCCATAGTATTTTTACCCTCCCCCTATCTATTTTCAACCTACATTCTATGCTACTTATTCTCTGTACCTTTTCCCCCCTCTCCTCCTCCCACTCCCCTGGTGCTAACCCTCCATGTGATCTCCATTTCTGTGGTTCTGTTCCTGTTCTAGTTGTTTGCTTAGTTTCTTTTGTTTTTGCTTTAGGTGTGGTTGTTCATAATTGTGAGTTTGCTGTCCTTTTACTATACATGTTTTTTCTTTATCTTCTTTTCTTGGGTAAGTCCCTTTAACATGTCATAAAATAAGGGCTTGGTGATGATGAACTCCTTTAACTTGACCTTATCTGAGAAGCACTTTATCTGCCCTTCCATTCTAAATGAGATCTTTGCTGGATAGAGTAATCTGAGATGTAGGTCCTTGTCTTTCATGACTTGGAATATTTCTTTCCAGCCCCTTCTTGCCTGTAAGGTCTCTTTTGAGAAATCAGCTGACAGTCTGATGGGAACTCCTTTGTAGGTGACTGTCCCCTTATCTCTTGCTGCTTCTAGGATTCTCTCCTTCATTTTTACCTTGGCTAATGTAATGATGATGTGCCTTGGTGTGTTTCTTCTTGGGTCCAACTTCTTTGGGGCTCTCTGAGCTTCCTGGATTTCTTGGAAGTCTATATCCTTTGCCAGAGTGGGGAAGTTCTCCTTTATTATTTGTTCAAATACGTGCTCAATCTGTTGCTTTTCCTCTTCCCCTTCTGGTACCCCTATAATTTGGATGTTGGAACGTTTAAAGATGTCCTGGAGGTTCCTAAGCTTCTCCTCATTTTTTTGAATTCTTGTTTCTTCATTCTCTCCTGCTTGGTTGTTTTTTTGTTCCTTCTGGTCCACTCTATTGTTTTGAGTCCCAGTTTCCTTCCCTTCACTATTGGTTCTCTGAGCATCTTCCTTCATCTCTTTTATGGTAACCTGCATTTTTTCATGTGATTTGTGCCCAAAATCAACCAATTCCGTGAGCTTCCTGATCACCAGTGTTTTGAACTGTGCATCTGATAGATTGGCTATTTCTTGGTCACTCAAAAGGATGAGTCCTGGGGGACTGATCTGTTCTTCTGTTGGAGACATGTCTCTCTCCTTTCCCCCACCCCCCCCGGTCTGGTCACTCTTGTTAAGGTGAGGGGTGGAGCCTTAGGTGTTCACCTGGGCTGGGCACCCCAGTTGCTGGATTGTGACATTGTATTTGGGGGCGAGGGTGGTGGGGGACAATGGTGGTAGCTCCGTTCTCCTGGGATCTCAGTCCCTTCTCTGGGATCCTGAGTTGCATGCTCTGCCCTGGTCCACAGTCACCACCTCACTGGGTCCCCCAGCTGCTGCTTGCGTACTCAGGGTCCACCACTGCATCCCGGAAGGCTTACGCGCTCCCGGTTGCCTTATGCGCCCAGTTCTCCCCGGTCTCCGTGTGCTGAGACCGCTCCTCCTCTCAGCCCCTCCTACCGGTCTGGACGAACGGGTCTACTTCAAGTTCTTGGCTGCCTGACTTCCAATCAGATAAATTCTCTATCAGTTCTGGGTGTTATTTTGGCTCTAAATTGTTGTTGTTCTAATCTTGGTTGTGCATGGAGGTACAGTGCATCCACCTATGCCTCCATCTTGCCGGAAGTCCAATTTCTGACAGTTCTGAGTGATGATTGTTCTATATTTTAGTTGTAATTTTGATGTGGTTGTGCAAAGAGGCGAGCCATGTCTGCCTATGCTGCCATCTTCAGCAGAAGTAAATTGTGTGACTTTTAAACTCTGGTTTCCTTGCACTTTAGCACCACCTTATGGCAGCATTCTGCTATCAGAATATATGCTGTCCTGATTTTTTTTTAATGCTCTGAACATATCCTGCTAGAGGTGTTAGCCATTTAAAGATATCATATCACATAGTCGTGTGGTTCTCAACCTGTCTGTACAATAGGGTCATCTGGTGACCTTTAAAAAATACCAATACTAGGCCTCACTCCAGAACCACTGGCAGAAAGCCTTTAACATTGATTCGTTGGACTAAGCTAGATGACATTTAACAAGTATTCAGCAACTTTACTTACTGGGGAAAAGGTCAACTTTCTTCCCTGATTTTATGACTACATACCTCACAGTCATATGCTTACTTGTGGTTAGAAATAAATACACTTTAGGGATCCCCTTAAGTATTTGTATCTGCTGTAGAATAATTCTGACAGTTGTCTACATATCTTGCTGAAGCTTTACTTTCTCTTAATGTTTTAAACAAATTCTCATCATTTTAATGGTCAATAACTTCTGGTCAGCTTAATTTTTTTAATTTGGGAAAATATATTAACCACAGACAAGCACAGAGTCTAAAACAATAACCTACCACGCAAAGTTAACAAATACAAACACTGTCATATTTGTTTCAAATATTTATATGTGCTATACATGTTTGTACATTGAACACATGTTTGAACTGCATGGGTCCACTTCTATGCAGATTATTTGTAGTAAGTACAGTAAATGTATTTTCTCTTCCTTATGATTTTCTTAATGTTTTTATAGTTCACTAATACAGTATATAATACATACAACAGAATATATATTAATTGACTTTATAGTATCCTAAGGCTTCTGGTCAACAGGAAGCTCTTAGTAGTTACGCTTTGGAGGAAATTCAAAGTTCTACACAGATTCTTGACTGCACAGAGTTGGTCCCCCCAGCCCTTGCATTGTCCAAGGGTCATCTACATATAAAATATTACCAGTAGAGCATAAGATTTGGTTGGGGACTCACGACCATCAAAAAATAAAAGCAATGAGAACATGTGACTGCTAAGCCATGGCAACATCGTAACTTCAGTATAATTCAGAGGAGAGAGAGACCAGCAGAGTCATGGAGGAGATGGGAGCAGGGACATAAAGCCGGGGGAAATTCTGATAAGCAGCAAACCCAAAGGAGAGGGATCTAGGTGGGAAAACAGCATAAGCCAAGGCTGGAAATAGAAATGAGCACAATATAGTTATTTCTAGAAATCTTTCATGTGGTCTAACAATAACTTCTTTCAAGCACTCACTGTAGGTCAGGCACTATTCTTAGTGCTTTCCATGTATGTATTACCTCATTTAATACAGCAACACTGTTGTGAAGAGCACCCTGCTCAGATCATTCTTTCCTGTTGCCCTTAAACAAGCTGCCATCTCTGGGTCTTAGTTTCTCCGTCTGTATAAAAAAGTAGATAGTAATACTATCTGGTGCATGAATATATGCATATGGGTAAACAAAGAGGAGACTAAATAAAAAATTATATACCTGTTAGTATAATTTGATGGATAAATGGTAACTCTATATTTAATTTTTTTAAGGAACTGCCAGAGTGCTCTCCTAAGTGGCTGCACCATTCTACATCATCACTAGCAGAGCATGAGGGTTCCAATTTTGCCACATTGTCTACAAGTCATTAGGTGGCTTTTTCATTATAGCCATTCTACTAGGTATGAAGTGGTATCTCATTGTGATTTTAATTTGCATTTTCCCTGAAGGCTAATGATGTTGATCTTATAAAGTACTATTGGCTATTTGTTTATCTCTTTTGGAGAAATGTCTATTCAAATCCTTTATCACTTTAAAAGCCATTGTCTAATTTTTAATGTTGAATTGTAAAAGTTCTTTATATACTCTGAAAAGAAGCCCCTTATTAGACATATGGCTTGTAAAAATTTCTCCCATTCTGTAGGCTGTCTTTTCACTTTTTAAATTTTGTTTCTTCTTACATTTAGGTCATTAATCCATTTGGAATGTTTTTTTTTTTTTTTGTATGTGGTGTTACGTAGGGGTCCAACTTCATTCTTTTGCACCAGGCTATCCAGTTGTCCCAGCACCATTTCCAGAAAAGACTATCCCCATTGAATGGTCTTGGACCCTGTTGTTGAAAATCAGTTGGCCATAAATATATGGGTTTATTTCTGGACTCTCAATTCTGTTCCATTGATATCTTTCTCTCTCCATATCCTTATGCTATTACTACATTGTCTTGATTCCTGTAGCTCTACAGTTAAAATTTTAGAAGAGAAAGTGTGAATTCTCTCTGGTCTTTTAAAAAATTGTTTTGGCTGTTCTGGGGCCCCTTGAGTCTCCACATGAGTTTTAAGATTGGCTTGTCAATTTCTACAGAGAAGCCAGCTGGGGATTGTTAGGGATTGTGGTGGAACCATGAGGAGTCATGCCATCTGAACATTTCAGTTTTGTGATCCATGAACATGGAATAGTCTTTCCATTTATTTAGCTCTTCTTTAAACGTTCAGTGATGTTTTATAGTTTTCAGAATATGTTCTGCATTTCTTTTGTTAAATTTATTGTTTTTATTCTTTTTGATGTTGTTATAAGGAGAATTGTTTTCCTTATTTTATGTTCATATTTTTCATTGCTAGTATGTATAGGTAGATTTTTGTATATCCATCTTGAATCCTGAAATCTTGCTGAACTTAATGATATGGTCTAATAGTTTTTTAATGGATTTCTCAGGATTTTCTGTCTATAAGATCATGCCATCTGCGAATATAGTTTTACTTCTTTTCCAATTTGGATGCATTTAATTTCATTTTCTGGTAAGAGAGACAAATAGCAAACCAACAAATTTAAAGAATCAGAGTAATAATGTCACATTCATACAGAAACAAACTATAATGAAGGGATGAGAGTGACTTGGGTAGCTACTTTAGATTGAGTATGTGGAAATGCCTCCTGAGAGGAAATGAGATCTAGCCTAAATCTGAATTGTAAGAAAAAACCACCTAGCCAGTGAGAACAGTTAATGTGAAGGGACTGAAAGGTGGGAATGAGCTTACACGCTGGGGGAACAGGTAGGCTACTGTGACTGGAATGTAGTAGGCAAGGAGGTCTGGAGATGCAGCCAGGGGCTAGGTCATGCAGGACTTTGTAAACCCAAGCAATGGAGGCTGGATTTTATTCTGGGTTTGGTGGAGTGCTACTAGAATGTTTGCAGGGAAGTGGTGTGATCTGATTCACATTTCAAAATCACTATGGTTGCTTTGTAGATAACAGGGTTTGGAGTGGAAGCTGGGAAATCACTTCGAATTTTGCAGCACTTCCTGTACAAGATACTCACTTGGTGTGGTGCTAATGGAGATGAAGAAAAGTAAATGGATGGATGTATGGGATGTGCTGATCAATTGGATGTGGGGAGTGAAGGAAAGAGGGATAAGAAATAATTTCCAGATGTCGGCTTGGGCACTTGGGTGGGCAATAGTATTAAACTAGGGAAGACTGGGCTTGAGCAAACAGGGCGTTGTGGGGGGTACTGGGGAGATATATCACAAGTTCTGTTTTGACTATGTTAAGTTAGAGACACGTACTGGTATTTCAAGTACAAATACCAAGTAGGCTGCTGGATACATAAGACTGAAACTACAGGAAGTGAGCTAGGGTCACTTGTTTTCAATCTGAAGGAGCTGCCAGTGAACCAGGTGAGAATATTTCCAGAAATCAAGGTAAAATTGTTCCAAGAAGGTGTTGGAATGTGCTGATATGCCCAGCCAGATTCTAATCCCAGTGTGTGGGTTACTTTACCTCTCTGAATTCACTTCTCCAAGTACAAAGTGAGGTAATACCAGATGTGGGGGATTTATTGTGAGACTAAAAGTGATAAGGCATATACATGTAGCAACTACTATTCCACACCAACTCTGATCTGATCAGCTGAATTTGACAAGTAGTAAGAGCAAAACTCGCTACATTTTCTCAAGGAAAGACATGTCTCAGATGGAAAGCTGCTGTAAGACTATGTTGTAACCTTCACTCTCCCCTTCAGTAAACCTCTTTGAAAATAGCATAAGTCACTACCGCATATCAGGAAATAGTTTTCCTATCTAGCTCTTCCTACAAATGCTATTTACTCTGCCTAAATTAGGCAAGATGTTTAGAATAATAAAGTAACAAATGATGCCATAGCAACGACCGAGTATTAAATGCCTCTCTTCTTTCTTGCACTAAGCACACACAAATATATCTAAGTCTTAGCCACTCAGGTCACATAAGAGGGATATCAAACCCTTATCTTACTGAATTTAAGTCTACTTTCTAAATATTAAAATAACAATGCAACAACAATAATAGTTAACCTTTACGGAGGGCTCACTATGAGCCAGAAGGTACTGTGCTATTGTTTTAGATCTGTAAGCCATTTCATACCCCAACAACCCTATAGAGCGGCAATAATACCATATCATCTTCCCCAGCTGACCAGCTTTAAATGAACGGGAAAGTTAGCTTATTAGAACTGGACTAACTAGATGTCACAGTGCCTTTTAACTGAAAGGTGTGATATGGTGAGATTTACAATAGTTCCTCAATGAAATAAATGAAATCTTTAAAAAAAATCTTACAATTTACAAAATTCACCTTTTCCACGAAGACCTGTGATCTAGAGCTCATCCAGGCCTTTCTGAGGAAATGGAATGATTCAGATCAAGGGACTTTTCAAACTACTTTTGTCATTAATGTTTATTTCCATTTAAAATATGCAAATTCAGAATTAATGTAAGGTAAAACCTCAAAGTATGTGGCAAAAGAAATGCTGTAAGAGCTTGAATAAAATGATGTGGTACCTATGTTATGTATGACAGACATTAACAAAAAAGCACATTCTGAAGAGAATCAAATTCTGATAAACTGTAGTTTGTAAAAATCAATTCAGTGGTACAATCTCACTGGGGAGAAGCAATTTGCCTTGTTACACTCAGTTAAAAATCAAAAGGGCATATTTTCTATTTCTAGTTATGACTATCACTGCACTATATGACATGTATATACCTAAGTCCTTTAACTCAGAGAATACAGTAAACTAAGCAAGAATTGGTATTTAGCAGGACTTACAGATCATGTACTATAAAACACTTTCATTTAAAAATAAAAATTTTATAATCTGTTTCAAAAATATCAATTAAAAATTCTATAAACTGCAACAAGGTTTCCAAACAGAAGTTCAAAAACCTTGGCCAAGCCATAGCTATAACATAAATAAAATTTAGCTTAATTTACTAACTAAAACATTCACTAAAATAATGTTTTCTGTATGTGTAATACTGAGTGTAACACTTCAGCATTTCAACAGAAACTGCTATTCTGTCACACATCATCAAAGTCTGTTCTCTAAACAACTTGAAGAAATTTCAATTACAAGGCAAATCTTCATTTAAATTAGGAACAGTGCATCTTAAAATTTTAAGAGACCTATATATAAATAATTTCTAAACATATATTTTTTATATGCTTATGGTTTAAAAAAAATGTTCCCTGAGCACTCTTTCTGCTTGGTTAGAAAAATTAGAATATGACCTATATAATTTTATTTTGATTTCTCTTGAATATATGCAATTTTTCATCCATCAAATGAAGTTGGGAATCTTTCCTTGTAAACAGTTCTAAAGCAATAAGTAATTATAACTGTTTTAAAGGGCTATAGAAATATGGTTGGGTTTTAGAGCCCTGAGAACCATACAATGGGTATCTCCTACAACTGAAATGATCTACTATCCTAAAACTATCAGATGGCACTAGCTTCACAGAGGAAAGAGTTAATAATCAGTAATTCCAGCTCAGAAGGCCAATAGATAAGCATTAAAAACTAAAAGAAAAAAAGAGTTGAATAACATTGTGCTTTCCATGGAATAAACTTGAAAAAATTTAACCCTTCTGCCCAACACAGGAAATACCTCACCATGCACTTTATTTAATGCAGTCTTGAGATCTGTCACTCCTTAATGTCCATGCAAACTTCAAATCAGCATCACTGGGAATTTCATCACACAAATTGCAGTTCTCAACACTACCCCACAATTCACAGAACATGTACCGTAGTAAGTGCACATGCATGGTACCCAGCACCCAGCATGTTCTCCTAAGTTTTTAAGGTCTCAGAAAAAATCTAGGCTACTCCACAGTTTAGTCCTCTTCTTTTTCAGATAAATAAATTAATATTAGGGTCTTAACTGATTTGTAAATACTAATTTTCCATACAGCTTAGCATCACAGTAAAAGAAAATTAGATTTAAGAAGTTTCATATTTATAATTAGATTTCCTAAGACCTAATTATACACTTTCCTTAACATTATGATTTATGTGGTTTACAAGAATAATTAATAAATAACTTAAAATATTTAGAAGTCATAGTTCTGAAGATCTTCAAGAGGTGAGAGCAATTTCAGATGTCCGGAAGTGTTTCTTCGGCCTTTTGGGTTACATGTTAAGGTACTTTATGCAGGACGCCCCGGACCAAAACGACTTTTAGATCTAGATATTTTAAACAGAAAAGAAGGTTAGAGGTGCTTCTACAACAAAAGGATGTTACTGTTACATTAGGTTATGCTTGGTTGACAGTATCAAAATTTAATGAAACTTTATGTAGCTCCATAAGATATTTTTAAAAACTCTTGGAGTGAGATGTATTCTGGAATTCACATATTTTTTTTTATTTTGGGGAGATAATATGGTACATATATTGTCTATTATGGATCTGGAGCAATGCCTCATAATCGAACACATTAATGTTACTTCACAGTGAAACAAATGAACATTTACATTAAGTGAGATAAATAAAAACTGTGAATAGCATCATAGTAGCGCAGTTTACATTTGAACTGACACAGATATATGAAAAAAATCTTGTGGTGTTTTGAGCTTTTTGGATTTCTGCATTGCAGATAAGGTTTTTGGATCCATAGTACTAACTATCAAATCTTAGTAACTGTAAACCTTTAAAAGAAAACTGGTGAAATAAAATAACACAGGATCCACAAGTTAGATTTTTAAAAGAGAAATAAAATAAAACAAAGAATGAGAAAGACTTCAATGATTTATGTAAAGTAATAGCATATAACCTACAAATAGTATTACAAGTCTGTTAATTAACAGTAGCACTATAGCTTACATTTTGATCAGCAGTTGGATCAGAACACAGATGAATCAATAAACTGAAGCCTTAAAAAGAACCTATACTTTCATTAAATTTCATGCTTATGACCTTTTAAAGTCTTAATTTTTTATTTAAAGTCTGATTATTATTAGTGTCTTGATCTGATCCTTGAAACAGAACAAAACAAAACTCAATATGATTTGCCCAGAAAAAAATCCCTTCAAAGCCAATGGCACTCTGAATTTGCCTAGGCTGACTCACCTCGAGTTTTTCTCTGAGCTTCCCTGCCGCGCACTGACTGGCACTGAGGCCTTGATTTGTGCTTCGATCCTGGAATAAATACCTCCTGCAAACTGCAGAGTAAAGGAGCGGTCATTATCTTTACAAAATCAAGAGAAACTATGCTTTATTAAAATGGTATTACTCTTTAACTTAAAAGTACCTTTAGTTTGATTTTTGAACATCCAGGCTCTCTGACACATAATTTACATATATTAAAATTCACCCTGTTTAGTAAATATTCCTGAGTTTTGACAAATGCATACAATTGTGTCACCATTGTTACAATAGACATAGAATAGTTCCTTCACCCAAGAAAATCCCCTTATGTCCCTTATAAGTCAACCAATTTGATACTACCAATTCTTGGAAACCTTGCCGGTATGTTTTAAAAATTATTTTAGACATTCTAGTTGGTTTATAGTGATATATATTATTGAGGTTTTAATTTACATTTCCGTAATGATTAATGATGTTGCATCTTTTCATGTGCTTATTTGCTTCCTGTATCCTTCTTTTAATAAGAGTATGGTTAATCTTTTGCCCATTTCTTTTAATTGGATTGTTTATTTTATTATTGATTTTTGAGAGTTCTTTATATACTTTGGATACAAATCCTTTACCAGGTAAGTGTTTTATATATATTTTCTCATAGCTTATGACTTGTCTTTTCACTTTTTAAGAGTGTCTTTCAAAAAGAAGAACTTTTAAATTTTGATGAAGTCCAATTTGTCACGTTTTTTCTTTTATGGATTACGTTTTTGTTGTTGTAGCTAAGCTATATTTGCCTAACACAGGTCACAAAGATTTTTTCCTATGTCTTCTTTTAGAAGTTTTATAGGGAAATGCATTTTTAAATAAAAAATACGGGCAAGAGTTATTATAATTAAATAATACCAATATTATGATAATATGTTATAACTAATATGTAATTCTAGTAAGAACATAGGTATTTCTAGTCATCATTCTCAACAAGATCATATCTTATTTTACAGATGACAGCTAAGTACTTCATGCAGGGTTGATCAAAATCAGCAACTTCCACAAAGTTACCCTCTGGATGGTTAGCATCTGGTCAGCAATGCACACTTAACCTTGGTGTGACATTACACTTCCAATGACAATGTACTTTATTATGTGTGTTGCAGAGGACTCATGAACCATGGATCATAAGAGATGGTGGAAAACTTTTATGTGAATGAATTGGCTAACTGGCGCAGGATTTAAAAATATTTAAACTATTCTTTTAAAATTCTGCCTAAAACAACTGTATATTCCTCATGATGAATGACAATAAAGTAGGGAGGCATATCTAAGCAAGCACAGTACACAAGTACATAATTCTTACTTCTTTTGATTCCTTTGACTTGACTCGATCCAGATCACCCAGTCTCATCTTTATTAGGTGCCCTGTAATTTCAGACATCCGCCTCTGATCTGAAGGTAAAAAATAATAAACCTTGCTTGTCATGAGAATGATTTATAACTTTTATTTCTTAAAAAAAGATTGCAATCATCAAGGTTTTATGAAAATATCATTCTATAGATTACCGATGTCTATTTATCTTTGAAGAATTTTAGGCTGTGAGTAACAAAAGGGCTCATACATGGATAATTGTGATACTTTTGAGATTACTGTAAATCAGCCTAAAACATATTTTGCCATCTTTAGAGTAAAATTAGTGGACAAAAGTCAGTCTGAGAGACCTCAAAACCATATGTGCATAAGATAATACATTACCCACTGTGATTGTCCAATAGTGAAACTCTGGTTGAGGTCTAAGGAATATGTTAATTCTGAGCCTTATTCCAACTGAAACCTTTAAAACTGTTCAGCATACCAGGTTACAGGACAGGTCCCTGGTTAGGGGTGCATGTGAGAAGCAACCTATAGATGATTCCCTTCCTCTCTTTCTCCCTCTTACCCCCTATCTCTAAAATAAAGAAATTAAAATCTTTAAAAAACTATTCAGCATACTTCATAATACAAAAGATTTCTATTACTGTTATTTATACCTAATTTGTACACCACCCAAAAAGTAAAACTTACCATCTTCTCTTTGTGCATCCTGATTGAATCTCAATGACCTTGAAGCATCCCACTTATTCTTCTGCATACTCACACTAGTGAAAAATTAAGCAAAAATCAGCATTGATGCTTTAAGAGTGAATATTTCATTGGATTCAGGAGTGATACTCACATGAAAGGAGACACATCTCTAGAAGTTGACTGAAAAAAAGTAGACAACATTAAGGCCTAATTAGAACATATTTACTGATAGTGCTGTAGTTAATAATAAAAGGAGTTTACATTTATTGAGTGCAAGATACTGTATGAAGAGCATTACAATCATTATTTCATTTAAGCATTACAACAACCACATGTGACAGGTGTTGTTATTATCTCTATAAAAAGATAGGATCATAGAAATTAAGAAACTTGTCCAAAGAGAAACAAACCTAGAATTTGAACCCAGCTTTATTGTCTGAAATGGAAGCCCCAGCTTATGCACTCTTTTATAATTCACCCATTCGTGTGTCTGTAGTACCTAACACAAAGATAAACCTACAACTCGTCCAGTGCAATTGTGTGGGACTTGTCTCAGTTCAGCTTTCACACATTTGTGGAATCCATGGTTTGTTTCTCTTTTAGGCAACTGCGGCTATTACTGTTCTCTTATTCCTACCTGGATTTTTACCCCTTCCCTTGAAGTCAAAGAAAGGGGTAAAATTTAAAAGACTATAAATTACAGGGTGGGGCAAAAGTAGGTTTACTATTATGCATATATGAAATGGAGTTTATTCCTGTATTATTATTTATTAATTGTATTATTTTCCATATGAACAACTATAAACCCATTTTTGCCCCACACTGACTAATTTATTAAAAATTTTAAGTCTATTTATCGTATTTTAAAGTCTATTTATGTATTTTATTTTTTAATAAGTAATATTGGTTCAAAATTCAAAAGGTACAAACAACACATATAGTAAAAAGCCTCTGCCCCCAGACATTCTTCCATTCCTTAGAGGCAATCAATCTTATCAATTTCTTTTTTTTTAAGATTTTATTTATTTAAGAGGGAGGGGAAGGGAAGGAGAAAGAGAAGGAGAGAACTATCAATGTGTGGTTGCCACTTGTGCGCCCCCCACTAGGGACCGGGACTGCAATCCTGGCATGTGCCCTGGCTGGGAATTGAACCAGCAACAATTTGGTTCACAGGCTGGCATTCAATCCACTGAGCTACACCAGCCAGGGCAACCTTATTGATTTCTTACATAGTATTCCAGAGATATTTTAGGTATATATAATAAATTCATATATATTCCTTCACCTCTACTGCACCAATGATGGCATAATATGCCATTCTACATACTATTCTGCACTTTCTTTTTTCACCTGTCAATATATCTTAGAGATCTTTAATCTGTCTTAATAGAACTTTTTCATTCATTTTATATTGCTAGCATTCCATTATGGGATTTGCTTTTCTTCTCTTTCAGATTTCTTCTGGCTATACTTGCTTTCTTATCTGAATATGAACTTTAGAATAGCAATATATAATTTAGACTTACCTTCTCCAATGCCTTTTCTTTCTTCTGACCACAGGGTGAAGACATCTGCTTTTTTGGCTGCTTAGTGAACTTCTTTGGCTTCTCCTTTTTCCCTGATAAAAAAGTTAATGTTTTGAGAATAAGTCCCATATATTTCTCTAATGCACTTGTTTCTTCCAAAAAACAAAACCCTGAAAAACTATTGTTTTTTAAAAACTAACATTACTTCTGGATAAAAAATAAATATACAGAAAAGTCTTAAGCACTAAAAGTGCTTAACATGGGCTCATTTCAATTACTTTTCTTCTACTTGGTGAAAACCTTTGGGGAAAAAATGAGGCAATGAATTCAAAGTCCCATTGAAATTAAATATAGAAAAATGTTGGGGAAAATTATACATATTTATTTCTCTGAGTCTAATTTGACAGTGAAGTCATCTCCTAATTCCAAATTTTTAATATAAAAACATAACTATAGTCCTGGAACTCACACACACAGACACACACACATCTTTAAAATGTCTTTTGCTCAGGCAGGAGGTGGGGCTATAAAAGTAAAAATGGAGGTAGGACAAAAATGATCTTGGGAAGAAGCAAATTTGGAACAAACAGTAGTTTAGACTGGGGCATTCCTGCAGTCAGCATTCTGAATTTTTTTTGAACACTGACAGTTTAGTAAAGAAAGGTGAGGGGCAGAAAAGAAGAAACAGAAAGAAGCATTTCTCTAAAAACAATGTTTGAAGGTAACGATAATACTGTACATTGGATCACTATTTCATAAACATCAATTATTTGTAAACAATCTTCACAATTTTTGCTATATCATTTAAAAGGGAAACTTTATATCACTACCATAAATGAGAAACCTATAAAATGTGCTACATACAAGGTAACCTTGAAGATACTAGAATAAAAACAACAATATCAATAATCTAGGTAGATTTGCTTGCTGGCAAACCCTAAGCCCCTGATGAGTGTCTCTGTTTAATTGGGAGATTGCAAAGTATTACATATAAAATTTTTGTATAATATCAAATCAGTGGGTTATACACCTGGAACTAATACAATATTGCATGCAGGCTGTAATAAAAAAATAAAAACAATTATTTAAAAAAGAATCATGGGGATGTAAAGTACAGCATAGAGAATATAGTCAATAATATTATAATAACTATGCATAATGTCAGATGAGTACTAAACTTATCAGAGTGATCACTTCATAAGGTATATAAATATCTAATTATGTTGCACACCAGAAACTAATATAATATTGCATACCATATGTAATCAGAAAATTAATTTTTAAAAATTGCTGAGAGGAAAAAAAAATTGCTGAAAGGCATGATAGGGTGGGACACCTGCAATGGCAATTCCTTCCAAATAAAATGATAATAAAAAGAGAACAAAAATATTTCAAATAACCATCTGCAGGCACTGGCAAATAATCAAAAGTAGGAAGAATTTGAATATTTATATTTGAAAGATGCAAGAGGTAGCTGGTCAGAAGGTTGTGGGTTATTGTTAAGCTGAAAGATGCAATAGGTAAGAACTGTGAGTTTGTGGCCTTCTTGCCTGAGGGCACTTCCCAACCTCCCCAGCTCAGGGAGAAAAATTACAGCCTCATGAGCTACACCATCAAATAAGAGTTTGAAGGAACAAATTTAAAGGACACATGGACAAAAACTAGGGGGAGGGTGGTAATGGGAGGGAAGTGAGGAGGGTTGGGAGGGTGGGCTTGAATGGGAGTAAAAGGGAGAAAACTGTACTTGAACAATGATTAAAATAAAAAAAAATTAAAAAAAAAAGATAAGAGTTTGAAGCAACAGAGAAGTTGGAAACATAAAGGGGAAATTTTGGAAGCAAGAAAGTCACAAAAGACCTGAGATCTAAAATGTGACAATAGGTTCTGTCTCACGGTTTCACTAATAAATTCACTTTAAGTTCTGAATAAGTAAATAAATAAAATGTGAGTTTAAAGTCTGCCCAAATTCCTAGCTAAGTGTTAAACTATGCAAGTGCACGATAGGCCCTAGAAAATCCAGCTAAAAAGGCAAGCAGAAACTAGGGTGGGGTGTCAACCCTTGTGAGACACAACTTTTCTCGTTTTGTGAGATGTGAGAGTTTCTTGTGCCTTTGACAGAATGCTTTCCCCAAACTGCACATGGTTTGAACTTTTGATAGCAGAGGTCTTATTGGCTTTAGAGGTCAAACTTGGGGCTGGAGAGACAAGCAGGAATCTAGGGAGAACCCATAAAGCAAGGGAACTACTAAGCAGGTAAGCCTCCAAATGTGAATATATATTCTGTCCAAATCCTTGACTGACAATGAACTGCCAAGGCTGGTGTGACCCCTGGCAGGTAAGGAATGGGAGAGGCTAAAGCAGCAGCAGTGAGTAGCGAAAATCACCTGTGCAGAAACACCATCCACTGCATACCATGGGGGAGACTTTGCTGTTTGGATCAGGCAAGTTAACTGCCTACTAGAACAAAAATCCCAATAATTCTCAGAAGAATAAAATATCTTAGGACTGCACACAGACAATCTGCAATGTCCATTTGCACCCAAAAGTTACGTGTAAAGAAAATGAAAAGTATGGCTCAGAAAAGAAACAGTCCACGGAAACGGATTCTGTGAGGGCCTGCACATTGTTGGATTTGGCAGACTCTGACTTCAAAGCAACTATTACAAATATGTTTCACGGAAAAATTATATTATTGAGTAAGCAAATAGAGAATCTAAATGAAATAATGGAAACTATTAAACCAAGTGGAAATTCTAGAGCTGAAAAGCATAATAACTGAAATGAAAAACTGTACTAGAAGGGCTCGAGAGAAAACCTGAAATGACAAAAGAATGAATCAATGAATGTGAGTTAAGCACTAGAAATTATCTATTCCAGAAAAATAAAGAAAAAACTGAAGAAATAGAAGCAAAATGTCAGAGACCCGTGGGACTATATTAAAAGGTCTATCATGTATGTGTACTGGAGTTTCAGAAGACAAGTAAGAAAGGGACAGAACAAGTATTTAAATAATGACAATAAGCTACCCAAATTTTGTGAAAACATTAATTTACCAATCCAAGAAGGTCAACAAATCCCAAGTAAGATAAACGCACAAAATAAGGACATCTAGGCATATCACAGTCAAGCTTCTGAAAGTCAGAAATGAAAAGAAAATATCAAAAGCAGTAGGATTAAAAGGGCACATTGCATACAGGGTAACAAGTATATCAACAACTAACTTCTCATCAGAAACACTGGTGGCCAGAAGATGTGGAATAACATATTCAAAATGCTAAAAGAAAAAAATAATTGTTAACCAACAGTTCTATATCAAGAAAACTGTACTCAAAATCTAAAGTGAGCCCTGACTGGTGTGGCTCAGTTGGTTGGGTCTCATCCCACAAGGTGATGGTTTGATTCCTAGTCAGGGCACACGCCCAGGTTGCAGGTTCGGTCCTGGTCAGGCGCTTGTGAGAGGCAACCCATTGATGTTTTTCTCTCACATTGATGTTTCTCTCCCTCTCTTCCTCCATCCTGTCCCCTCTCCTTAAAAAGAAATAAAATCTTTAAAAAAATCTAAAGTGAAATAAAGATATATCCAGATAATAAAAATGAGAGAATTCACTGCTAATATATCTGTATAATAGGAAATGTACCTGTACTTCAGGAAATAATAAAAAAAGTCCTTCAGAATGAAAGAAAATAACATCAGATGGTAATACAGATGTAAGAAAAAGTGGTAAATATGTGGGTAAACATAAAAGACTAAATGCATATTGTTTTTGTTTCCTTACATTCTTTAAATTCCATAAAACTGTTTAAGGCAAAAGTCGTAATGTATATAAATATATGTATCTCAACAAAGAAGGGGAGGTAAATGAAACTATATTATTTTAAGGTTCTTATGTTTTACCTGAAGTAATTCATAATAGTTTTAAGTGGATTGTACTAGGTTAAAGCACATGAAAAGATACATAGAACTATATATCCAGTAGAATGGCTAAAGTAAAAAACACAAAACAATAATGCCAAGTAAACATAGAGCAATTGGAACTTTCATACATTGCTAGTGAGATGCAAAATGGTATAGTTACTTTGAAAAACAGTTTGGTAGATTCTTATAAAGTTAAATATATTTACCAGATGACCTAGCAACTCCACTCCTAGGTATCTATCTACCCAGGAAAAATGAAAATATATATCCATGCAGACTTACACGCAAATGTTCACAGCAGCATTATTCATGAGAGCCAAGAACTGGAAACAACCCAGATGTCCATGAAATTGTGAATGGATAAACAAATTATGGTATATTCTTACTAGAGAATACTACTCTGCAATGAAAAGGAGCTACTGATATACAAAATATGAATGAGTCTCAAAAATACCATAGTAAGTGAAAGAAACCAGACACAAAAGACTACTCATGATTCTATTTACATGAGATGTTAGAAAAGGTAAATCATTGTGACAAAAAGCATAGTGGTTGCCTGGGGGTGGGAGTAGGGAAAGGGAACTGAGTATAAAGGGGCAGGTGGTAACTTTTTGGAGTACGGTCCAGGTTTTGATTTTGGCAGTGGTTACTCAATTGTATGCCCAAACTCCTCAATGTGTACCCTCAAAAAAGGTTGAATTTTATGACATGTAAATTATATCTCAGTCAACTGTGAGAACAACATATGACATAGTAGCATTGTTTCCTTGACTAATTAGGACTGAAAAATAGTTGGTGGAGGACTACATTTAAAGAAAAGTTATATAAAACTTGGAAATAAGACAAAGGGAGAACTGCACATTCTTTCAGTGTTCCCCTGGAGGACTATTAAAGAGGCCTACGCAGGGATTACTTCTCTAAGAGAACATCCTTGAGTTTGACTTTCCTATCTACCATTGACTAAAGGCCCAAATTCTGTGAAGTTTCATGTTAACTTGAAGATTTTTGTGTCTAATAGAAATGCAAATGATTTCTATCTAGTAGAAAAGATAACCCCAAAGGTTATGGGTTTATTGCTTTGTAGGAAAATCTGAATCTTCAGATGCTCTTTGGATCCATTTTCCTGCTATTTCTCTCACCAGTGAGTTGAAAAATTTTGATCCAAGTTCATATACTAGCTGTATAAAATCATGTTTTTAATTTTTTAAAGTTATATTTTGATGACTATTATTCAATGTTTCATTTGAGTATCATTTCAAATCATCTTAGGTACACTGATGTGAGTCATACATTTTGAGAAACCTATTAGATTACACCTGAAATAAAAACTTGGAAAGAACCTCTGCACCCCAATGTTCATAGCAGCACAATTTACAATAGCCAAGTGCTGGAAGCAACCTAGGTGCCCATCAGTAAATGAATGGATCAAAAAACTATGGTACATTTACACAAGGGAATTCTATGCAGCAGAAAGAAAGAAGCCCTTTGTGACAGCATGGATGGAGCTGGAAGGCATTATGCTAAGCAAAACAAGCCAGGCAGTGAAAGACAAATACCATATGATCTCACCTTTAACAGGAACCTAAACAACAAAACAAACAAGAAGCAAAATATAGCCAAAGACACTGAAATAGAGAACAGGCTGACAGTGACCAGAGGGGAGAGGGGAGGGAATTTCAGGGGAGAATGGGAAGGGTTTATAGGAACAAATATAAAGGACACAGGGACAAAAACTAGCGGGGAGGGTGGAAATGGGAGAAAGGTGGGGAGGGATGGGTGGGTGGGCTGGGATGAGAGTAAAGGACAGAAAACTGTACTTGAACAACGATTAAAATAAAATTAAAAAACCTGGAGGATTATTTCTCAGTATACTGCACTTTTTAAAAATGATTTTGTGAGTATTCTGTGTTAGTGCCAGGATTAGGAAATCCTGATAGAGCCTTCTTTATTTTTTTTCTTCCATGTTATACCCTACCATGTGAACATGTAAAGCCAATACCTCATCCCTTGCATTAAAGCATTCAGAATATAGCCCCTTCACAAAAATAAGTCTTAATTTTTAACTAAGAAATCAATGTACTTTGTTTCTTGGACACTTCTTCTTCATCTCCAACTTCATCTTCAGTGACTTCAGATCCAGTCGTATATTCTTCTTCTTCTGAAAATAGTGACTGTTGTTTCTGAATTAAAAAATAATACATATCCTATTAAAAATGTGGTATTATCACATACACAATGAATTTTTTCACATATATCTAAATTTATTTTTGATGAATGAGCCAAATAAGAGCTGAAAAATGATCACTGCCTAACACAACATTCACGAAGCAGACATAACAATTTCTGTAATTAGGACAGGATCAGATTACATCAAATATTTTTTATTTATTTCCTTCACAGATCCTAGAAGAGTGATGGCACCTAACAGGTATTCAGTGTTTGCTGAATTGTACCTCTGTCAGTCAACTAAATGCATGTTCATTGATATTAAGAGTAAATTAAAGTACAATAATTGCCAATATTAAAGCAGTCTCATAAACAAGCACATGTGCACACTCCCTGGATCAGAGCGTTCCTGGACCACTTAACCATACCTACATCTGTTTCCTGCATCTATCCACCCTACTGTCTGTCATCACTGATCCGAGTTCTGACTTCATTTTTGTGAATACTGATGGCAGATGACACAAGAAAGGCAAACGGGTAAAAAAAAATCAAATAACCAATCAAACAACCAAATAATTGGAAAGTTCCTGTTATAGATTTGTTGCTTTGTTCAGTGACAAAAATAACTTTTAAAAGTTCATTTAATTAGACCTACAGATTATGCAGCCAGAAAATGTAGTATGTGTCTGCTCTAAACAATGACAATTTTAGTAAATACAAAAGTTTAGACACTGAAACGGATGATAAACATTTAACTAAAATATGTAAAATCTAAAAATATAATGTTGATAACATATTAAACTATACTTCAATTTAGGAAGAAAGAGATCCATGAAAGCGGAATATAGTTGCTCACTCACCAGCTGCAGAGTCCAGTTTTTCAGTGATAAAAACTTTAAAAAAGACAAGAGAATAAGAGATAATAAATCTGCATCTACACAGACTAAAGCTTCTTATTTTCATATGGATACTCTAGAAGAATTTTTTTTTAGATTTTTATTTATTCATTTTTAGAGAGAGGGGAAGAGAAAGAGAGTAATATCAATGTGTGGTTGCCTCCTGCATGCCCCATACTGGGGACAGGGCCTACAACCCAGGCACGTGCCCCGACTGGCAATCGAACTGGCAACCCCTTGGTTTGCAGCCTGAGCTCAATCCACTGAGCTACACCAGCCAGGGCTAGAAGAATTTTTAAAAGTTACAAGTATAGTTTCCTTCCAGGTTGAAACATAATTTTAAACTCAGGCTAAAAATGATAGAATCTTTTATATCCTCTGTCTAGAGAAGATATATATGGCTTACCAAAATAAATAAATAAAATAAAACAAAAACATTTCCTAGTGTCATTTCCAAAGGACAAGTAAATAACATGTAGATATAATATACTTTTGGTTATTTTTTAACTATTTCACTTTTTAATGTTTATATTTTTATAAATTAAGGAACCAGATTATATATGAATATTCAAGAAATCTAATTTGCTATTTTGCATGTAATTCATAAATAAATATTAATGATTGAACACTTATAGCCACTTGGAGTTTAAAACTTATTTTACATGAAGTATTTCACTTTCTGAAGTAAATGCCACCCCAACAGACAGGAAGCTACCAGCAAACAGACTCCCTGATTGTTAGCAACAGGAACCAAAGCTTCCTGGTCATATTTTAGTTTTGAAATTTTGGAAAAACTAAATGCATTCCTGATTACAATCGAAAAAAAAAGAAGAATTTCACGTCAAAAACAGTTTATAGTACTAGGAGGAGATAAAATATGCCATTCATACTATTTTCACTCTTCAAATCATCATTTATCCATAATAAAAACCCTGAAGGCCATGCTATATTTTCTGTCAAAGTTAAGTCAATTAGCCACTAATTCTGAGGACAATAAATGTGTCCTATTACCCTTATAGTTCTATTAATTCAGCATAATACCTTGTTACATCCAGTAGTTAGAAAATATTTATTAACTAAAAATTTCAACTTCAATTTATTTATTTACTTATCTTCACCTGAGGACATCCTTATTGATTGTTAGAGAGAAGGGAAGGGAGAGCGAGAGAGAGGGAGAGGAAGCAAAACATCAATCAGTTGCCTCTCATAGGTGTCTCGAACTCACAACCTAGGCACGTGCCCTGACCTGACTAGAAATCAAATGCTCAATCTTTTGATTTACAGGATGATGCCCAACCAACTGAGTCATACTGATTAGGGCTCAACTTCAATTTAAAATGATCAAGTTTCTGTCAAAGATTAAATGTCATCAATTTTTTGTGTAAATAAAGAATGAGTGAAACAAGCTACTCACAGCATTGAGCTCCCCACTTTTGGGGCCCCATGGTGTACTTGGCTCCAGTAAAACATCACAGTCCAGACCCTTCTCATCCCAGGGACCAACTCCAGAATCACTAAGGAGAAAAAGACATTGTATGAAGAAGTGTTCAATTTCTTAAGAATTTAAATGCAAATGATATCTTTTTTATTGCACGTTTTATAATTTGCTCTTTAGAAATATAGTTCTTCATAGACACAGACAACGGTATGGTGATTAGCAGAGGGAAGGGAGGGTGAGGGGAGGTAGAAGAGGGTCAAAGGGGGAAAAATGGTGATGGAAGGATACTCGACTTGGGGAGGTGAACACACAATACAATATACAGATGATGTATCATAGAATTGTATACCTGAATACTGCATACTATATAATTTTATTAATCAATGTCACTCCTATAAATTCAATTAAAAAAAGGAACTACAGTTCTTGAGGATAAGGTATGTACTTCTAAATTTACATTTCTTAACTCATCTAATGATTCCCCCAGCAAGGATCACTCCATACAGGGGGAACACCATTGCGCTCCAGGCATCACACTCGCCTGGGGGTAAAATGGGCTCCTATAATGGGTACTACTTTGAGAATGGAACCCATTACAGGAGCTCACTTCAGCAATAGAAAAAAAAGAACAGCCTTTATTACGAAGTCCTCCTAACCTCAACCTGATAACCTGCTGTAGTTGCAAGATGGTGGAAGTAACCTCAGAAATTAATGACTTCAAGGAGCTCAAATTTTTGCAAAGATAACCTCAACCATCAACTATTTTTCTAGTTGTGTCAATCACAACTAGGTGAGCTTAAGTAACTTGAAAAAAGAAAAAAAAAACACTTCAAAAATTGGATTGCTGGTCCCAACCTTTCAATCACCAAGGACTTCTTTTATTAGTTTTTCTTTCTCCAGAAGTGCTCTTCCTATCAAATAAGCACCCGCTGGTTCTTATTTTAAGCTAACATGATTTCAGTTAAGCTTTCTGAAATAATGTAAACTATATGAGGGCTGACATTAGTGATTTGGAGACACACTAGGGGATGGTAAAGCTGCAGTACCTCCCTCTCACCCTCCCCCATGCCTCCCTCCTGACCTCACCTAACTGTGTCTTTAGAAAAAGGCACAACAATGACATCTCTGTGTTTGTGCAGATCATCCAGTATTCTAGCAGTTGGACAGGAGAGCAAATCTCCATCTTCACCTTGATCGTGAAGAGCAACCATGTGGTCTCTCACTTTACAACCCTGTTGTACAAGAGACACTAAATTAGAGAGGCTGGTTCATTACGGAAACCTCCCTTTAAAGATGACTATGTTTTTGTTCCTCTTTGCTTAGTCATATCAACCATTTTAGCTCTTTTTTCCCAAGGGAAAAAATCTCGCACAGGAAAGAGCATGAGACATAAATGTACGAGGTCTGTCCAGAAGGTATCCAGCCATGAAAAATAGAGATGCTTATTGAAGAAGACACAAGATGCAAGAAACATTGTATATAGGACGATGACACCTCAGTTCCCTTCAAAATAGGTACCTTGGGACCTCACACAGTTCTCCCAATCACCACCAGCTGCCCCATTGTATTTTCTTGAATCTCATTGAAGTTTAGAAGTCTCTTCCCTTTCAAAGGTGATTTTAGTTTGGGGAAAGGCCAGAAGTTGCAGGGTGCCAAATCTGAGCTGTAGCAGGGCTGAGTCAGCTGGGTGATTTGATGTTTCACCAAAAAACTCTGCACAAGACATGATGTATGAGTGGGTGCATCATTGTGATGAAGCTGCCAATCACCAGTTGCCCATAGTTGTGGTCTTCTGAGTCATCTGAATAGTTTCTGCACAGGAATGTTCAAGCTTAATGCACAATTTGATGCTTTACTCATTCAGTCATTTCGAATGCGATGGCCACACAGTACACATGCTCACTCTACAGCATCTACCGCCACCACTGACTAGTGCAGTGAAGTCACTGTTCATATATGCACATTCCAGTCCACTCGCCTTGGCTGCCAGGTTACATTGATGCTGCACAAACTGTTCTTGCTCTTTTAACAATGGCTGGACTTTTCTGGACAGATCTGGACAGACCTAATATACCTTAAAAATATCCAAGAGTATTCATGTAACCACCATCCACATTAAGAAGTAGAGTATCTCCAACACTCCAGGAGTCTCCATGAGCCCATTCTCCATGAGCCCATTCCTCCCTTCTTCCAAAGGATAACCTCTATCCTGACTTTTATAGTACTTAATTCTCTTTGCTTTTATCCTTTTACCACTGGAAGATACAACCCTAAGTACTATTGTTTAGTTTCACCTCACTCATTTGGTTCAACACTGTGTTTTTATTCAGCCAAGTTATTATACATACTAACCTTTGCTTTAATATACAGTATTCCTCCTTTGTATGAATACATACAAATTTATTTATTCTACAATTGATAGATGGGTTGTTTCCAGTTTGGAGATATTACAAATAATACTGTTATGGCCCTGGCTGTTGTGGCTCAGTTGGTTAAAGCATTGTTCCATAGACTGAAAGGTCATGGGTTTGATTCCTGGTCAGGGCACATGCCTAGGTTGCAGTTTGGGGTGCGTTTGAGAAGCAACCCATTGATGTTTCTCTCCCTCTGTTTCTCCCTCCTTCTCTCTCTAGGCATGTCCTCCCTTGGGTGAGGATAAAAAAATACTATTATGAATATTCTTTTACATGTTTCCTGGAACACAAGTATTCATGTGTGCAAAAATATATTACTATCAGCAGTGTATGAAGAGTTCTCTCATTACTCTATATTCTCACTAATTCTCACACTTAGACATTTTTAGTCATTCTAATGAGCATGCAGTGGTATCTCACTGTGGTTTTTATCTGCTTTTCCCCAATTACAAATGAGGTTGAATTTCTTTTAACGTTTACTGGACAACAAAGAACTTTGTTGTGTGAACTTCCTATTGTCTTTTTCTTATTGATTTATAAGAGTTTTAAAAAATCTTAGTATGAACCTTTTATGGAGATGTGTTGCTAACATCTGGTCCTACCTGTGTGTTTGTCTCCTCAGTTTCAGTTTATTTAATGTAGTTGACATACTTTAAAATTTCTTCCTATGTTATTACCTTTTAATAACTTCATTTGTTTTTCTTTCACATATAGATCTTTTTTTTTTAAAAAGTTTGGGCTAGAGTCTAATTCCATTTTTTCCCCAGATGGATATCCTAATGTCACAGTACCTCTTATTGGAAAGTCTATCCTTTGCCCACTACTCAGTAATGACACCTACGTCTCAGTCAAGTACTCAGTGGCTCTGAGAACTTTATTTTCTATTGGTCCATCAGTCTATTCATTATCACAATCATCCCATCTGAATTACCAAAGCTTTATAAAAAATTCTGACATTGAACAGAGCAAGTACTTCTACCTTGGTGTTCTTTGAAACTATCTCAGCTATTCTTGGCCCTCTGAATTTCTATATCCATTTTACAATCAGCTTAGCAAAGTTCCCAGTACAAAACCATTAGGGTTTTTATTGAGGTTGCATTGATCCATATAGATCAGTTTGGAGAATATTTACATCTCTACATATTGAGTCTTCCAATCTATGAACTTGGTACAGTAATACATTTTTTCAGTGTTCTTCATTTTATCTCAATGATGTTTTATGTTTTCTCTATAACATTTTTATATATATTTGTTAGATTTAACCCTGAGCACCTGATATTTTTAAGGCTGCTGTGTTTTCTTTTCATAAATTTCATTTTCTAATCTAATTGGTTTACAGAAATACTACTGATTTTTATAAATGCTTTTTAATAGATCAATCTTAAATTCTTATTAATTTTAATAATTTATCTGAAGATTCTTCAAGGTTTTCTGTGTTCACAACATCATCTACAAATTGTAACAGTCTCTTTTTATTTCTTTTTCTTGCATTAATATACTGCCCAGGACCTCCAGTTCCATTTGAATAGAAGTGTGGTGATAATGGGCATCCTTATCATCTTCCCAATTTCAAAAGGAAAATTTCCTCCATTCCACTATTAAATGTGATATTTGTTACAAGTTTATTATATTATCTATCCTTTACTGAATTACATAATTTTCCTTTTATTCCTAAATCTGGTAAGAATCTTTATTTTTTAATTTTTTAATCATTGTACTCATACCCTTCACACACATTAATTTAGAAGTTACACATTCTGTTGTCCTTTTAGTGGTTATCCTAGAACTTATAAGATGTACCTTTGACTTATCAAAGTCTAATTTGTTAATACCCTTCCTTCTCAAGACCTTTTAAACTCAATTTCACTGCTCTCCCAACTTATAGGCTATTGTAAGTTTTAACATAATTATATGTTAAAATGTATAGTATATATCCTGGGGAGGGCAATCTGCTTTACTCAGTCCACCTATTCAAAGATTAACCTAATCCAGAAACACTCTTGTAGACAAATACAGAATAGTGTTTAACCAAATATCTGAGTACCCCATGTCCCAGTCTAGTTGACATATAAAATTGGTAGTCATACCCTCCAACTTTATTCTTTTTCATAGTTGATTTTTTCTTTTTTTTCAAAGTTGATATTGCTGTTTAAGCACTACATATAACTTATAGAATCAGATTATCAATTTCTACAAAGAGCCTGCTGGTATTACATTAAATCTATAAACTGATTTGGAGAGAGATGACATTTTAACAACATTAAATCTTCTGACTCATGAACAAGGTATATCTTTCAATTTATGGGGTGTTTAAATTTCCTCAAAAGTATTTTGTAGTTTGCAGGGTGTAAGTCTTTCACATCTGGTAGATTTATCTCTCAGTTCATCATATTTTTGTGCTAATGTAAATGGCATTTCTAAAAATTTAAATTTCTGCTTTTTTCCAAATACATTGAAAAACCAATTGATTTTTGTAATTGGGAAAAATGTATAGTATATATCAATTACATATTTTTAATTGTCTATATTAATATAATTATATATTTATTACAAACATGAATGCATACATACATGCATATGTACATAAAGCATTACCATCATTTTTACAGTGTTCATTTAGATTTCTCAATACATTAATTTATTTCTTTGATCTTCATTCCTTCCTGTATCTCAATAATGTGTTAGTATTTCTGTTAAAGCAGTTTGCTAGCTGTACATTCCTTCAATTTTTCTTTGCCTAAAAATATCTTTATTTTGCTTTCATTTTTTTTCTTATTAAAGATTTTATTTTATTTTTTAAACAGATGGGAAGGGAGGGAAGAAAGAGAGGAAGAGGAACCCCAATGTGTGGTTGCTCCTCCCACGCCCCCCACCAGGAACCTGGCCCACAACCCAGGCTTGTGCCTCAGACCAGGAATTGAACGGGTGACCCCCTGGTTCGAAGGCTGGTTGGTGCTCAATCCACTGAGCCACACCAGCCAGGGCTTGGCTTCATTCTTAAAGAATATTTAAGGAAGGCATAGGTTTCTAGACTGTTAACATTTCTTTTGGCACACTGAAGACCTATGGACTATATTCTGACTTCCATTTTTATTGCTGAGATATAAACTCTAATTATTGATGTCTTAAAGGGATTCAGCACTTCTTCCCTCTGTTTTTAAAATGTTTTCTTTGTTTTTTTTGTTTTCTGCAGTTTCACTATGATATATGCAGGTATGAATTTCTTATTATCTTATTGGGAGTCACTGGAATTCTTGAATCTATAAATTGACATATTTCAATAATTCTAGAGTATCTCAGCCATTATCTCTTCAAACTTTGCCTCTGATCTATTCTCTTTCTCTTCTATTGGGAACCCCATTAGAAAGTTAGATGTCACATAAAAAGACAAAAAGCGTGTGATTCTACAATACCATATAAAGTACTTAGAGTAGTCAAGTTTGTAGAGATGCAAAGTAGAACAGAGGTTGCCAGGGGATACAGGGATGGGGAATTGTTGATTGGGTATAAAATTTCAGTTTTGCAAGAGGAAAGAGGTCTGGAAACCGGTTGCACAACAATGTGAACCTATTTCATGCTACTGAAATAAATATACACTTAAAAATGGTTAAGATGGAAAATTCTATCTTATGCTTATTTTACCACAGTTTTAAAAAGAGGTAGACATGCACACTGTAGGTCTCTTACTTTATTTTACATTTCTCATTTGGTTTCTCTGTGCTTTGTTCTAGGTAGTTTCTTCTGATTGTTATCTTTTCATTCATTGGTTTTTCAGCTGTACATAATCTGCTGTTAAATTTGCCACTGAGCTTAATTTCTGTATTATTACATGTTTCTAGCATTTCTATTTGCTTTACTTAAACCCTTTTATAGTTTAGAATTCCCTGACAAAAATTTCTAAGCTTGGCTTCTATCAACTTAGACTAAATATAAAATCTTATTTAATTTATAGTCTATGTAAATAATTCTGTGGTTTGTTTTTGTATCTTAAATTCTGCTATTCCCATTCTCAGTAACTTATTTCATCTATGCCAGGTTATCTTTGCATGCTGAATATTTTGTTGAAAATTGTTTACAGAAATAATTTGAGGTTTAGAATAATGTTATCTTTGTCCAAAGAGGATTTTTACTGCTCTCCCAAGTGCCTGGAGAGAGTGGCAATCCAGGATTACCTTAATCCAATTTCAGGGCTTGAAATATTCTATGCCACCCAAATAAATCAAAGCCAGGCTACTATCCAGGCAAGAAATGGCTTGTTTCTGACTTACTCAAAGTGTAAGGGAGTGAATGTTATTCATCATTATCCCCAGTATTGACAGACCCTGGATACTGACTATTCCCAAAAATCCTGATAGGGCATCAAAAACAACCCAGCTTCTCAACCGCTCTTTCAGGTTGCAATCCCCTCCAAAATGGCCTTGAGTGCCAGCGCACTCCTCTCAGTTCCCTTTATCCCCTGTATCTTATCACTAATTCCCCATTAGCTTGTTATGCTTTTAATATGATCTTTATATTTCATCCATCTTTTTAAGTTGCTTTTTGGTGGGAGGATTGGTCTGTATTACATAGCCATTACTGGAAATATAAATCACTGTATGAGTTATCTAGATTTCACTTAGCCCAATAAATTACCTCAATAAATATCCATGATTTCACAAACAAAATTTATCATACAGTTTAATCACTATTTACTCCTAATCCTCTCATAGTAAATGGATTAGTAGTTGATATAACTATTAAGTAGACGAAAAAGCCAAAGAGTTACAACTTTAAGAAGTATTGTTCAAAATGAAGTGATAGTTAAAATAGAAACATCATAACCATAGAGAACTGTAAGGACTAAAAATCATGTTACTGCAATAAAAGCAATCATGAATTAACAAAATCTCTTGGGCCTGTCGAAGCTATTGCTCCTCTGCTCAAAGTCTCATGCTTCATTTAAACAGTGTTGCATGCAAAGTGTTAACTAAATCTTAGTTATGAACACTATGATGGCAATCTATTACCTCACTAGTAAAATTTCTGATAATCAAAATTGGTAATTGATTGCAAAAATAACAAATTTCCTAATCCAAATTAAATCCTATGATCCATCATTTCAGTAACATTTGTGCTAACATCCCAAATTCCTAGCTGCTAAATTTCATCATACCCTTCTGACAAAACCCCAACTCTGGATGAGCTCAAGTACCCATTTTCACCACTCCTAGAGAAAATTTCTGGAGATAGCAATATGAAAAGCTATGTTGGATTTCACTATACATTTATAATCAGCAATTTCCAATGACCCTAGTAACCTATAATATTTATCTGGAAAATTCACTTTTCTGTTTTCTGAAAGACTTTCAAACCTTAATACTTCCTCTAAACCTTGAAACCTTCCCTCTTTCCCTCATTCTTAGCAGACCACTTTACCTTCTTCTACTTGATGGAGAACAGGAAAGGCATTCAATTGGATTAATTTATCATCAATGAGAAAAATACAATTTTACTAATTCTGCAACCATCCTACTCTTCTCTCCTGTCACATTAGAGGAGCTTCCCTTCCTCCTGCCTACACAAATACTGCCATTTGTGCTTCAGATCCCACCCTACTCTGCTTCCTCATAAACCTTATACTATCACCCTCTCCTTACTGGATCCTTTCCACTGACTTTTAAGAAGTTCTCTTCTATCAAAACAAAATAAAACAGAAACAGAAACAAATACAGATTATTGATCCATCCCCTTCCTTTCTCAAATTTCCCAAAAGAATTGTTCACATTGCCTCCATTTGTTCTTCTTTCACTCACATTTCAGCTCACACTAATCTGACTTCTGGATCTAGCATACCACCAAAACAGATCTTCATATCTATGGATTCCAGGTCACCAAAGCCAAAATACATTTCTTTCATTATTTTACTTGACCTCTTAGCAGTACTTCATATTGTGGACCACTCTCTCTTGAACACTGCTCCCTTGACTTTCACGATAATGTTCTTGGTTTCCCTCCTATTATTCTGGCTGTTCCTGATTATTCTCCTTTGTAGGCTGATGCTTCTCTATCTAGCCATTAAATATTGGAGTTTCTCCAGGTGCTACTGTAGGCCCCCTGCCCTTATGCTCACCTATACTTGGTGGCTTCAATTATCATTTATGTGCAAGAAGACTTAAAAATTATTATATCCAGCTTAGTCACTTCTCTGAGAACCCAAACCCATATATTTAACACTCTTTGTCTGGTTATCTTATAGAACATCTCCAACCTAAAATGTCCAAAACAGAATTTGTGAGCCTCTTTCCAAACCTAATTCCCTTCTGTTGTTTCTTCTTCAGTGAATAATACCACCATCAATCAAGTAGCACAAGCAAGAAACTGAGTCATATTCTCCCTATATGACATAATCCATCAATCAGTTTTATTTCCTAAATATTGAATTCATCTATTTCTCGTCATCTCCACTGCTCTAGTCCAAGCGACCATCATCTTTCTCTGAGGCTACTATGACAACTTCCTCCTGGTCCTAATTCTACTGATTATTCCTCAAGCCATTCTCCACACTGCAACTGCTATTTTCAAAAACCTGAAGTGAAGAAAAAAACTCAAACACGGTGGAGGAGGTCCTGCCCCTATATGGCCTGACATCTACTTGCCTCTCCAGCTTTGTCTTCAAATATGCATGTTTTTTTTTGTTTTTTTGGTTTTTGTTTGTTTGTTTGTTTTTTCACATAACAGGCAGAGTTTCTTTCAGTCTCTTACTCACTGTAACTCTTGGATTTGCTGTTCGGACTGCAGGGCTCTTTCCCTTCCTCTTCCCCTCAAATGTTCCTACCCACCCTTCAGATCTCAATGAAATGCCAAATCCCTAAGAAGGTAATATCAGCCTATTATAGACATTTATGAACCTGCAAACACTTCCTTGTATAATTTTTCCCTTTTGATATTATTGTCTGAACTCTAAGCTCCTTGAAGACAGAAACTATCGAACTTTATACACTGCCCTCTGCCTTGTATAATGTGTGATACAACTTTGGTGCTTTATAAATACAGGATGGGGCAAAAGGAGATTTACAGCTGTAAGCGTGTGGAACACAAAGAGTTTATTCTTGTATTATTAATGATGAATTATTGTATTATTTTTCTACACGAACTGTAAACTTACTTTTGCTCCCCTCTATATTTGTTGTATGAAAGTTGTATGAATGATGATGAGGAAGAGCTTTAGGTTCCTTTCATCACCCATGAATTTTAATTACGTAACATTTTCAAAAGTGTTAGTGATCAAGGACTGTAACCTATAGCGATACTCATGTACTGCACTAAGGTGTATGTGCAAGGATGTTCATTGCAACACTTGTAATACCATCAACCCTACATTGATGTATTACCTTTATACTTTAAGAACAAAAAGGGGAAAAGATTTAAATAAAATAAAAATTATTAATGAGCAATGTAACTGCAAAAGGGTAACACTGAGCATTACCCTTATAAGCTGAGTAGGATCAAACCGAAGAACCTTTTGGTTGCAGCAGGGATAAATTCCGGTGCCCACAGTACTCAGCGAACTTGCTGCAGGAGGATAAACCACTGCTTCTGAATGATACTGACAATGTGAAAATTCTATACAGAGAAAAACCTGAATAAAATAAATATATAAAATCAATCATTATTCCCATATTGTATATCTTAAGGTATACAATATTTAAGTGTATCTTAAAAATACTTTACTCAGGACCACATATGTTCTCTTTACATAAAATATGCAGAAATGGCAAATTTCTAGAGACTAGCAGATTTGTGGTTGGCTGAGGTTGGAGGTAAGATTGGGAAGTGGTAGCAAATGGACACAAGGAATCTTCTTGGGGTGATGGGGTGATGAGCTGATTGGATGGTGGTGAGGTTGCACAACTCTAAATTTACTAAACTGCATACTTAAATGAAGATTATGGCATACAATTATACTGTAATAAAGCTATTAAAAAGCAAAAACAAAACATGTTACTCAAAATTCAGATGAATTAAATTGATCTTGATGTTTATCTAATTTTACAATTAGCCAAACACATACAAAGTTTTCAATGAAAATAATGAAATAAAATTTTGCCTCAATTATTCTTTGACATATTTTTAAGGTAAATATTTAGCATTAGTATTAATGAAAACTATGGAGTAACTTTGAATCATTGGTGAAGGAACTTATAAAGATTTAATTATAAAAGTAATAGATTTCAGCCCTGGCTGGTGTAGCTCAGTGGATTGAGCATAGGCCTATGAACCAAAAGGTTGCTGGTTTGATTCCCAGTCAGGGCACATTTCGGGGTTGTGGGCAAGGTCCCCAGTAGGCGGTGCTCGAGAGGCAATCACACATTGATGTTTCTCTCCCTTTCTTTCTCCTTCCCTTCCCCTCTCTCTAAAAATAATAAATAAAATTAAATTTAAAAGCTGGGAGGAATGCAAGTTCAGAGACTTGGGAAAACAGGCTTACATTTACTATGCAATCCAGCATCTAACCTACTTCTAGGTTATTACCCAAGAGAAATAAAAACCTATATTCATATGAAAGTCCATAGGACATGTTTATAGTAGCTTTCTTCATCATGGCCCCAAACTACAAACACCTACAAAGCCCTTCAAAACACCTACAAAACACCTAGTGAATAAACATTTCAAGTTCATTTTGGTAAATAAAAAAAAATAAAGCTGTACTTAAAAAGTTAAATGTGGTATAATTTTATTTGTATGACTTTCTGAAAAAGTCAAAATTATAAAGACATTTAAACAAATCAATGGTTACCAGAGTCTGGGGTGGAAGAAGGAACTGACTGCAAAGGGGCATAAGAAATTTTTAGGGTGATGGAATTGGTCTATGCTTTGACTGTGGTGGTAGTTACATGACTGTGTTTGTCAAACATCAGAAAAGAAGTTAATTTTACTGTATAAAGGTGAATTTTACTGTACATACATTTTACTTCAATAAACCCAATTTTTAAAAATTGTGGGGACATAAGGAGTCTATTGGGTATAAGTCCAATAGAAATCTCACACTGAAGGTTTTAATAAGCAGCTCTTCGTTCCCTCTACCGAAAATCATTACTCAAGTGAGAGAGAAAAATTACTGGGGTTAGAGAGACATTAGGGATTCACAAAAATTTTTTATGTGGAACACTCTGGATTTATACATAAGACTAATTAGGAATGACTGTGACCTACAATGGTCTGTTTATTCTATAAAATGATTTATTATTGGTATCTTTAAATAGCAAGCTATCTTGTGTTTTTACTACAGACTTCCTTTATTAAAAAATGAGCAAAACCTTTTTTTGGAACACAACTGTTATAACAAGAAGGGCACATATCAATAGCACTCTATCTGCAAAGGTGTTTCTGGATTTTTCAAGAAATGTGTGGGCTAGCAGAGAAAAAGTTTGGCTGGAAATAACTGAAGGCAATAAGGACTCAGTATTTATTTTTCCATTAAAAAAAGTATTTGGTGACTTAAAGCTTGCTGGTTTTCTAAAAATTTGGCAAGTCGTTGGTTGTTTCAACAATGATAATAAAGGGGAAGAAGAAATGTAGTAAGAGAAATTAAGTCAGATGTAAGCAATGTTTCTATAATAGCACCAGTGTTTTTGCCACTAATTTCTTAAAAAGATATCAGATATTATCAAAACACATCCAAACATACTAATTAAACAGCACATATCAAAAGAGCCTGCTCTCAATGTTTGCAGAGCAGGGTATTTTTTTAAAAACTCACCTGACAACATCTTGAACAAGTTAGCCAGTTGACTGTTCCCCACAAGCGCCAATACACATCTCTCCAAGATTTTAGCTCTTCAAAAAGACTATTCAAATACTCATGAATGTCCCAAGTCTTATCTCTGGGGAAAAAGTCTCAATTGTCATATTATTTTACAAGCAAGCAATATTAACAATTGATTAGAGCAAATGTTTTTAAATATGTGGCTTATATCCAAGAATTTCCCCCAAATAATGGCTGTGGGATGGACTAAACTGAATGGTAGATAAAATTTCATTTTGGCGTCTATTTATTCTTTTTTTTCCCTATGAATAATAGGAAAAGGTATAGAAGGTTGAATGCCAAATTATTTTGCTAAGCTACATATAGGGTTATAAATTAAATACATATTGAGTAGACTAACATTTGAGACTTCAGCAGATGTTGCTTTAGTCTAATTGTACATATTGTATAATAAGATGTACAGTAATAATTGGTGATTTTGAACATTTCATTAATGTGATCTTTATATTATTCTCAAAAGGCATTTTCAGTAATTGAGTAATAATAGTAATATACAATCCATCTCAGAAATATACATTTTTAAGTTAAGTAAGATAAACTTTAAAAATGGCAAAGGCTTAAAACCCTACTTGCTATAGAATTATGTAACTCAAGTTACCATTTTTTTCCAAGTCCCTTAATCTTTTCAAACTTTTGTTCTTCTTGTCCTTAGTTCAACAAATAACAAAATACTACCATGTTATTACAAATTACACAGGAACTTGTTTTAAGTTAAAGACAATTTAAAAAGTGTTATCAATAGCTGGCCTATTGGAAAATACTTTGAATAAAACAAAAATGGATGTTGAAGTTACTATCAATTTTTTCACATAGTTACCACTGTCATAATATATATAGAATATATAATTGTTATTGCTATCAGAGTGAACATTCTTTTTTTTTTTAAGAGTGGGCATTCTTAAAAGGTGAATCAAGTCTCAAGACAAAAAAGTATAAAATCTCAGGTGCTTACAATAACTAGTAAAGATTGCCTGGTTGTTGTATGTAGAGAAAAATGTAACACTTTAAAGTCAATTGTACTATATTCATATTAGGTTAAATGTTTCTCTGTACTTCTGTTTTAATGTTTTAAATATGAAATCTAACATTTGCATTTTTTAATATAGAAGAAAGAACAAGCACAAAGAAAATTAAGATCATCCATAATACTATGACTCAAAGGTAATACCACAGTAAACATTTTAGTGAACATGCCTCTAGTTTTGTTTTATAATGTGTTTGTTCTTTTCATTTCTTCCCACTAAAAACTTTGTATGTAGGTATATATTCCTTTACAACATTATTTTCAAAGACTGCACATTAAGAATTGATTAGATGTACTTTATACAGATATAGTATTGTATGGATATATTTTAGTTTGTTTAATCATTTGGGTGTTTCCTTTATTTTTTAAAAGATTTTATTTATTTATTTTTAGAGGGGGAAGGGGGGGAGAGGGAGGAGAGAGGGAGGGAGAGAGAGAGAGAGAGAGAGAGAGACATCAATGTGTGGTTGCTTTTCACGTGGCCCCCACTGGGGACTTGGCCTGCAACCCAGGCATGTGCCCTGACTGGGAATTGAACTGGCGACCCTTTGGTTTGTAGCCTGCATTCAATCCATTGAGCTACACCAGCCAGGGTGGGTGTTTCCTTTATTACAAGTATAAACAATATAGCAAAAACTGTCCTTATTAAGTGCTTTCACAAATCCAATACTATCTCTTTGGGTAAATTCCTAGCAGTAGGATATTATCAGAGAATATATAAGAGTGAGGTGTGTCTACAAAGTATCCAGCCATAGAATATTAAAAAATAGAGATATTTATTGAAGAAGATACAAGATACAAGAAACATTGTACATAGGAAAAATGATGTCTTAGCCCCCTTCAAAGTAGGCACCTTGGGACCCCACACAGTTCTCCCAATCGCCATCAGGTACCCTGTCATATTTTCCCAAATCTCAGTGATGGTCTGAAACCTCTTCCCTTTCAAAGGAGATTTTAGTTTTGGGAAAAGCCATAAGTCACAGGATGCCAAATCTGGGCTGGAGGGGGGCCAAGTCACCTGGGTGATTTGATGGTTTGCCAAAAAACTGCATGAGACATGATACATATAAGCATCGGCACGTTGTCGTGACGAAGCTGCCAATCATCAGTTGCCCATAGCCTTCTGAATCATCTGAATAGTTTCTGCAGAGGAATGTTTAAGCTTAATGTAAAATTTGATGCAGATTCATTGCTCTCCTCACTCAGTCATTTTGAATGTGATGGCCCCACAGTACACATGCTCAGTCAATGGTGTCTGCTACCCCCACTGACTAGTACAGTGAAGTCCTCATTGTTCACTCATGTGCATTCCAGTCCACTCTCCTTGGCTGCCAGGTTACATCGATGTGGCGAAAACCAATCTAGTTATATTAACAATGGCTGGACTTTTTCTGGACAGACCTCACATATTTTAAAGTTTTTGCTTTCTTGAGACATACCATTTACAACATTTTCCCTCCAACTCAAAATGAGAACTGGTTTTGAACTTAAAGGGGAATAAAAAAAGAACTATGTATTAATGGAATACTGACAAAATAAGAATAACAACTAGATTGGGGAAATTCCATTTTATTATTATTTTTTAAATTATATTTTACTGACTATGCTATTATAGTTGTCCCAATATTTCCCCCTTTGCCTCCTCCATCCAGGCTCTCACCTCCCACCACACTCATTCAAGCAAACCCCACACCATTGTCCATGTCTGTGGGTCATGCATATATGTTCTTTGGCTACTCTGTTCCCTTGCTGCACTTTACATCCCCATGACTATTCTGAAACTACCAATTTTTTACTTCTTAATCCCTTCACTTTTTTCACCAATCCCCACTGACCCACCTCCCACCCGGCAACTATCAAACTATTCTCTGGATCTATAATTCTGTTTGCTAATTTTGCTTTATAGATTCAATTATTTTTAAGTATATGTTATTGATTATGCTATTATAGTTGTCCCAGTTTTCACCCTTTGCTCCCCTCTGCCTGGCACCCCCCATCACTCCAGGAATCACCTCTTAGTTCATGTCCATGGGCCATGCATATAAGTTCTTTGGCTTTTCCATTTCCTATACTATTCTTAATACCACCTGTCTCTTTTGTACCTACCAATTATTCTTTTTAATCCCTTTACCTTTTCCCCTGTTCTCTCTCATCCTCCTCCCAACTGATAATCCTCCAAATGATCTCTATACCTATGATTTTGTTCCTGTTCTGGTTGTTTGCCTAGTTTTTTTTTTTTTTTTAAAGATTCAGTTGTTGATAGTTGTGAATTTGTTGCCTTTTATTTTATTTTTTAAAGATTTGATTTATTTATTTTTAGAAAGAGGGAGAGAGAGGGAGACAGAGAGGAAGAGAAACATTGATGTGCAAGATATATATCGATCAGTTGCCTCTCACACACTCCCAACTGGGAACCTGGCCCGCAACCAAGGCATGTTTCCAGACTGGGAATTGAGCTGGTTTGCAGGACAGTACTCAATCAACTGAGCCACATCAGCCAGGGCTAAATTTGTTGCTTTTTTAATATTCATAGTTTCGATATCCTTTTTCTTAAATAAGTCCCTTTAATATTTCATATAATAATGCTTTGGTGATGATGAACTCCATTAGTTTTTTTCCCTTGTCTGGAAAGCTCTTTATCTGACCATCAGTTCTAAATGATAGCTTTTCTGGGTAGAGTAACTTTGGTTGTAGGTCCTTACTTTTCATCACCTTGAATATTTCTTGCCAATCCCTTCTAGCCTGACAAGTTTCTTTTGAGAAATCAGCTGACAGTCTTATGGGAATATCTTGTAGGTAACTAACTGTTCTTCTCTTGCTGCTTTTAAAATTCTCTCATTGTCTTTAACCTTTTGCATTTTAATTACGTGTCTTGGTGTGGGCCTCTTTGGGTTCATCTTGTTTGGGACTCTCTGTGCTTTCTGGATTTGTATGTCTATTTCCTTCACCAAGTTAGGAAAGTTTTTTTTGTCATTATGTTTTCAAATAAGTTTTCAATTTCTTGCTCTCTCTTTTCTCTTTCCAGCACCCCCATGATGTGAATGTTGATCTGCTAGAAGTTGTCCCAGAGGCTCATTACACTACCCTCAGTTTTTGGTGGATTGTTTTTCTTCTTGCTGTTCTGATTGGGTGTTTTTTGTTTATTCAAATGCTGATTTGATTCTTGGCTTCATGCACTCTACTGTTGTTCCCCTGGAAATTGTTCTTCATTTCAGTGAATCCTTCAATTCTGTTTTTTCTTAATGCTTTCTACATTCTTTTTAGTGCTGTTGAAGTTCTGTTTGAGTACATCTGCTCTTCCCCTAAGTTCATTGAGCATCTTTATAACCAGTGTTTTGAACTCTGTATCTAGTAGATTGCTTGTCTCCATTTTGTTTAGTTGTTTTTCTGGAGTTTTGTTCTGTTCTTTCATTTGGACCCTGCTTTTTGTCTCTTCATTTGACAGCTTCCCTGTGTTATGTTTCTATGTTTTAGGTAGAGCTATGACTCCCTGGTTTGGTACAGTGGCCTAATGTAGTAGGTGTCACGTAGAGTCCAATGACACAGCCTCCCCAATCACCCAAGCTGGGTGATTGGGGAGGTCACCCACCATGCAGGCTGTACACATCTTCCTCTTGTAGTTAAGCCTTGATTGCTATTGGTAGGTCAATGGGAGGGATTTACCCAGACTGATCAGCTGCAAGGGCTGCCTATGACCAGAGACCACTGACCTCTGACTACTGTGGAGGATCAGCTATGCAGGGCCCAGTCCACATAGCAGGACTTAGTTCAGTAGGGCTCTGGGGCCTGCTGAGTTCTCCCCATGAGTGTGTCACTTATGGAGGTAGTTGAGTAGTAGTGCTCCAATGTGGTCTGTAGCTGTCCACTGAGTGAGCAGGCTCTGGGGCTTCCCCAGAGGTGCAGGCTAAGGTCGGCCATTGCCTGTGTTCTGTCTGGGAACACCTGGCATAAGCTATGAAGTGATCTGCAGGTGGCTGCTACTTATGCTGTGCTTAGAGGTGCCCCAGGCAAGGGCAAACTGTGAATCAAGGCCAGCTGCTGCTAGTGCTAGGCCTGGGGTCACTTAGCAAGAGGTGCGGGGCTTGCTGAGGCCAGATGCTGCTTGTTTGAGAGATTTACAAAAATCTGAAGCATGAGCCAAGACAAGCCACTTGTATACAAAAGCCACTGGAAACAGCTTGGGTGGTTGTGGACTCTGGGTTGGGCAAAAACTCAGGGAATCCCAGGGTGGGGCAAACAGTGTGACCCTGGTTAATGGAGTATCACATAAGGTGCCTGCCTGCCAGCTCTGTGTGGGGGAGGGCTCTGAAAAGGAACAACAGCCTCTGCCAGCACTTCTGTCTAGGAGAAAGCTGTCCTCCAGCTCTTGCCCTGGTTCCAGACACTTTAGTTCCTCCCTGTTCCTCCCTGGATGCCTCTGTTACCTTTCAAGCTGCTGCCCCAGTGTTGGAGCCAAGAGGGAGTGAATCTGAATAAGGCTGTGTATGGGCCATTTAAGAAGAATTGCCTGGGAATCCAGAAGTTTCTGTCTTCCACAGCCTCAATCTCCATTGGTTTTTACAGCCAGAAGTTACGGGGATTTATCTTTCTGGCACTGGAATCCTGGGCTGGGGGCCTGGTGTGGGGCTGGGACCTCTTGTTCCTGAGATATCCCTCCTAATTTGTATCCACCATACATTCATGTGGGACCAGCCCATTCCTTGTCTCCACCCCTCCTACCAATCTCAGTGTGGTTTCTTCCTTAATTCTGTAGTTGTAGGACTTCCATTCAGCTCAATTTCTGGCAGTTCTGAATAATGGTTTTTCTGTAGTTTAGTTGTAATTTTTTTAAAAAGATTTATTTATTTATTTATTTTTAGAGAGGGAAGGGAAGGAGAAAGAGAGAGAGAAACATCAATGTGCGGTTGCTGGGGGCCTTGGCCTGCAACCCAGGCATGTGCCCTGACTGGGAATCAAACCTGCGACCCTTTGGTTTGCAGCCCGAGCTCAATCCACTGAGCTATGCCAGCCAGGGCTGGACAGCTAGTTGTAATTTTTTTGTGGTTATGTGAGGAGGTAAGCCATGTTTACCTAGGCTGCCATCTTAGCTTTCTCTAGAAAATTCAGTTTTAAAGATCATTTTCCCCACCAAAATTCACTTGAAAGTAAACTTGGCTCTCTTGGTTCTCTTGGTTCTCTATTCAATATAACACTTATATAAAATCTGTTAGTGTAAAGAAATAATTTTATTGGTATTGATCAGAATATCTTTCGAGATAAATGCATGACCATTTTTACTCTTTGAAAACTTAAAAGTTTACTGATATTTACCCTCTTAATAAAACATAGCCTTTAAAACAACTTTGTTTTGAAAGTAGCATCTTTCTAAATCAAAACTGGATCACATGCAGAAAATACATCCTATTGTGTATAGGAATAGTTATGCTTCTATAAATACACTAGTAATTTATATTTGAAAAGCTGTATTTTTTTTCACTATACCTTATGTGAATGTACACAATATTTCCATGTTGATCCACATTGATTTTTCCAGGAATGCAAGGAATTCTTCTTTCTGTTTCTTTAGTTAAAAGTTTCTTACACAAACAGCACCTACAACAAAAAGAGATTTAAAAATACAAGAAAAAAATTTTAATGTAGTAAAATTAAAAAATTTAGCTGCATCATATAGTCTACCAAAGAAAAACATATTACCATACCTGTACAATGTTGCTGCATTATTCCGAGAATCTGGATTCAAGTATTCAGGATCAAATAGTCTTTCAATCTTCTTACAAAACAGTTTACTATTAACAACAAATGACCAACAAATTAATTTCCCACATATACTTTACTAAAGTTACTCAATAGCAATGAAAACAAATGCTGATCTATCTGCACATATAGAAAATAAGATTAATAAATCCTTAGATTTATTAATTCTCTTTGGGAATGTATAATACAGTTTTAGTGTTCTAAGTAAATAAACCTCCTAATGGCAACTGCTTGATCAAGAATCTATTTTCACAAGAAAAATAAGACTGAAATATTACCTCTCTTTTAGTCCTTTGTAAATGGAATGTTCAAGATTGAAGATTTTGGAAATTTAACAATTCTGGGTCTACCAAATAACTCAGGACGTGATGTTTAGCAACTTAATCTCTCTTAACCTTGTTTTGTCATTCATGAAATGGTGTTAATAATTCCAAATTCATAAGTTTTTAGGAGGGTTAAATGAGATAATTAAAAAAAATACCAAAGCATTAAGTATTCAATGAGTATTAATACTTTATTTTCATGCATAAAATGACTAAACTTCAAATCTTCTAATTAATTCTAATTAAACTAATTGTCATTAATTCCAAGTGTACTATTCTGTCTCTATTTTCTCTCACAAAACATCTGCTATTAAAGGCCAGATCCAGATTTAGGGCCCTAGTCCCATTTTTAAGTATTTGGCTCTTGGATAATTCCCCTGTCTCATTTCCCTTAAGGACAAAACTCTTGGATCATCCCCTACATGATCAGTTTCTCCTACTCTCATGAATCGCCCTGGTCAGCAAATAAACATAATCTAATATTTATCACCTTAAAAAAATCCTTTATTGAGCCTACCTATCCCTAATAGCTACTACTAAATTTTTCAGCAATTGTTCAGAGCAAAACATCTGGAAAAAAGTCAACTAAATCCAACTAGTCACATTCTGTCCTCATCTCACTCTGTATGGTGGCAGCATTCTACTAATTTGATCACTTAATCACTTCTTCCTGTTTGAAAACCTCTTTCCTACACCCCACCGGTCCCTCCTCTTCAGACCCCTCACTGGTAACACTTCTCTGTTGAACCTCTAAATTTTGGATAGTCTTCACCAATACTCTTGCTAACGATTATAAAATTAAACAACTAAAAATAGATTTGCAACAGCACCCAAAAATTAAATGCCCAAGAATAAATTTAATAAGAAGTGAAAAATATCTCTCCACTGAAAATCATAAAACATTGCTAAAATAAATGAAGGGTTATACCATGTTCATGGACTGAATGACTCAATATTATTAAGATATCCAATTTTCACAAATCTACAGGCTCAATATTAACCCTAAATTATTCTGGCAGTTGTGTATGTGTGTGCACAAGAGAAAGAAAAATGGGTAGGCTAATTATAAAATTTACATGGAAATGCAAGAGATCTAAAACAGCTAAGACAGCAGTCTTGAAGAAGGAAAAAGCTGGAGAATTTAGACACCAAAAAATATTATAAAGCTACCACAACTAAGACAGTGTGATACTGATAAAAAATATCAACAAAGAAACCAACGGAACAAAATGGAGAACTCAGAAACAGGGACTTCCCACCAAGATAGAAGTATAGGTAGACACACTGTGACTCCTCACACAACCAAAAGGACAACAAATTTAAAAACAAACAAACAAACAAACAAACAAACAGAACTGACAGAAAACTGAACTGTATGAAAGTCTGACAACCAAGGAGTTAAAGAAGAAACATCCATCCAGACCAGTAAGAACAAAGATGGGCAGCTGGGCAGAGAGGACTTGAGGAAAGGTGGCAGCTGGCAGACCAGGGAGGTGGAAGCTCACGGACCAGGTGGTCCCACATTTGCATGCAGATAAACTGGGAGGAACAACTGGGGAGCAAGGTAGACCATGCAACCCAGGGTTCCAGAGCAGGGAAATAAAGCCTGGAAACCTAACTGAAAAAACCTGTGGGGGTTGAGGCAGCAGGAGAAACTCCCAACCTCACAGGAAAGTTCATTGGAGAGACCCACAGGGTCCTAGAATGAACACAAACCCACCCATTTGGGAGTCAGCACCAGAAGGGCCCACTTTGCTTGTGGGTAGTGGGAGAAGTTGACTGAAAGCCACAAAAGAACGGAACAAGTGGCATTGTTCCCTCTTGGACTGTCCGCCACATACAGTGATACAACACAGCGACAGGGGTTGCCCAGCCCTGGGGAATACCTAAAGCTCCACCCCTTACTAAATAACAGGTTCTCAGAGACCAAAAACAAAAAACAAACAAAAAACCCCCAATAACAACAAAAATGGCCAAAATAAAAGGACAGGTCAAAGCTCCAGAAAAGATACAACTAAGTGATGAAGAGACAGCCAACCTATCAGATGCGGAGTTGAAAACAATGGTTTTCAGGATGCTCACAGAATTGGTTGAGTATGGTCACAAAACAGAGGAAAAAGTGAAGGCTATGAAAAGTGAAATAAAGGAAAATGTACAGGGAACCAACAGTGACTAGAAGGAAACTGGGACTCAAATCAACAGTTTGCACCAGAAGGAAGAAATAAATAGTCAACCAGAACAGAATGAAGAAACAAGAATTCAAAAAAATGAGGAGAGGCTTAGGAACCTCCAGGACAACTTTAAACCTTCCATCATCCGAATCATCAGGGTGCCAGAAGAAGAGGAAGAAATCAAAAACTTTTCTTTAAGATTTTATTTATTTATTTTTAGAGAGGGGAAGGGAGGAGAAAGAGAGAGGAACATCAATGTGTGGTTGCCTCTCATGTGCCCCCACACTGGGGACCTAGCCTGCAACCCAGGAATGTGGCCTGACTAGGAAAAGAACCAGCAACACTTTGGTCTTCAGGCCTGCACTCAATCCACCAAGCCACATCAGCCAGAAGAAATTGAAACTCAATTAAAAAAATAATGAAGGAGAACTTCCCTAATCTGGCAAAGGCAATACACTTCCAGGAAGTCCAGAAAGCTCAGAGTCCCAAACAAGTTGCACCCAAGGAGGAACACACCAAGGCACACCATAATTACATTACCCAAGATTAAAGATAAGGAGAGGATCTTAAAAGCAGCAAGAGAAAAGGAGACAGTTAACTACAAAGAAGTTCCCATTAGACAATCAGGTGATTTCTCAAAAGAAACCTTGCAGACAAGAAGGGGCTGGAAAGAAGTATTCCAAGTCATGAAAGGCAAGGACCTACATCCAAGATTACTCTATCCAGCCAAGCTATCACTTAGAAGGAAGGGTAGATAAAGTGCTTCTCTGATAAGGTCAAGTTAAAGGAGTTCATCATCACCAAGTCCTTATTATATGAAATATTAAAGGGACTTATCTAAGAACAAGAAGATCCAAACTATGAACAGTGAAATGACAACAAACTCACAACTATCAACAACTGAACCTAAAACAAAAAACTAAGCACACAACTAGAACAGGAACAGAATCCCAGAAATGGAGATCACATAAGGGTTATCAGCAGGGGAGGGAGAGAAGGGGGAAAAAGTTACAGGGAATAAGTAGCATAGATGGTAGGTAGAAAATAGGGGGAGGTTAAGAATAGTATAAGAAATGTAGAAGCCAAAGAACTTATATGTACAACCCATGGACATGAACTAAGGCAGGGGGATGGGGTGGGAATGTGGGTGGGAGGGGGTGTGCAGGGCAGAGAGAAATAAAGGGGGGAGAGTGGGACAACTGTAATAGCATAATCAATAAAATATATTTTAAAAAAGAAAAAATAAATATAATTCATTAAAAAATAAAAAGAAAAATCTCACATATATATTCACCTGCAATTCTGTGGAGTTAGGAGGGTTTGCTAGGAAATCTCATCCCATCCCACGTTTTCAAACCTCATCTACTCTTAAATTTCTATTTTATGCCCTGACATCTTACCTGAACTTCAGACTTGTATATTAAACTATCTACCTATCATCCTACCAGATGTTTAAAAGTACATTAAATATATTAAATAATTTTAACATGATCCAAACCCAACTCTTGATTCCCCTCACCTCAATCTTTCCACTCTTTGTAAATGACATTAACCATCCGCTTAGTTGCTCAACCTGAAAACCCAGTAATTACCCTAGCATATTCTCTCTTCCTACACCATTACATTTGAAACACCTGTCAACTCCTTCTTTTTTAAAATTATATTTTATTTATTATGCTATTACAGGTGTCCTGATTTTTGCCCTTTTGCCCCTACTCTACCCTGTACCCCCTACTCCCTCAGGCAATTCCCCCCCACCTATTGCTCATGTCCATGGGTCAGGTGTGTAAGTTCTTTGGCTACTGTATTTCCTACATTGTACTTTGCATCTCTGTGGCTATTCTGTAACTACCTATTTGTACTTTCTAATCGCCTCACCTCTTTACCTATTCTCTCCCCTGCCCACTCCCATCTGGCAATCTTCTGGTAACTAACTCATTTTCTCTTGCTTTTAAGAGCCTCTCTTTATCTTTAACCTTTGGCCTTTTAATAACATGTCTTGGAGTGGGCCTCTTTGCATCCAGCATGTTTGGGGCTCTCTGTGCTTCCTGGACTTGCACATCTATTTCCTTCATCAAATTAGGGAAGTCTTCTTTCACTATTTTTTTCAGATAGATTTCCAGTTTGTTGCTTTTTCTCTTCTCCTTTGGGTACCCCATGAGGCGAATATTGGACCTCTTGAAATTGTCCCAGAGGCTGTTTATACTATCCTCATTTTTTGCATTCTTTTTTCTTCTTGTTGTTCTCGTTGGTTGTTTTTTGCTTCCTTATGTTCCAAATCACTGATTAGATTCTCAGCTTCATCCATTCCACTGTTGTTTCCCCATAAATTGTTCTTTATTTCAATTAATGTATCCTTCATTTCTGACTGGATCCTTTTTATGTTGTTGAGGTCCTTACTATGTTCCTTGAACATCCTCATAGCCAGTGTTTTGAGCTCTGTGTCTGATAAATTGCTTATCTCCATTTCTTTTAGCTCTTTTTCTGGAGTTTTGATCTGATTTTTCATTTGGGCATGTTTCTTTGTCTCCTCATTTTGACAGCCTCCCTTGTTTGTTTCTATATATTAGCTAGAGTTGCTTTGACTCTGTATCTTGGTAGTGTGGCCTAATGTAGGGGGTGTCCTTGTATGGTCCAGCGGCACAGCCTCCCATATCACCAAGCTGGGTACTTGAGGCACACCCTTTGTATGGGCTGAATACACCCTCCTCTTGTAGTTGAGCTTTGGTTGCTGTTGGTGGATCAATGGGAGGGATTTACCCAGCCCAGTCTGCTACATGGAATGGCTGTGACCACTGACCACCAACCTCTGCCTTCCATGGAGGATCAGCTATGCAGGGGCAGGATGGTGGTGCTCCAACTTGGTCTGTAGCTATCCACTGGGTGTGCTGGCCTTGAGGTTCCCCAAGTGGTGGAAGCCATGGTAAGCCCCCACCTGTGTTTTGTACAGGGCCACCCTGCCTGAACTATAAAGCAATCTGAGATGGTTGCTACTTGTGCTGGGCTTGGAGATTCCCAGGCGAAGCCAAGCTGTGACTCTAATCTTGCTGCCCTAGGGCTCACTAAAGCCAGGTGTTTTTTGTTTGATTGGATTTAGGAGCCAAGACAAGACTTTCCTATGGAAAAGCAGCTTGGGTGGGCCAGTAAATTGGGTGGGGTAGATCCTCTGTGGATCTCCAAGGTGGGTCATACAGTGTTAGCCAGGATTATGGAGTTGCAGATATGGCACCCAGGGGGTGGGGTGTGGGGTGGGGTGGAGGGAGCTCAGCAAAGGGACAATAGCCTCTGCTTGCCCTGATGACAGACACTTCAGTCTCTCCTTGTATACCAGTGGTGCCCTTCCAGTTGCCAACTTGGTGCTAGAACTCAGGGGGAGCGAGTCTGAGTGGGTGAGTCCGTGTGTGGGGTCCCCAAGAGGAACTGCTTAGAGCTCTAGCAGCCTCCTCCACTTACTCAATTCCCACTGGTTTTCGCAGCCAGATGTTGTGGGACTTATCTTCCTGGCACTGGAATCCTGGGCTGAGGGGCCTGATGTGGGTGTGGCACTCCTTGTTCCTGAGACATCCCTACAGAATTTTTATCCATGTGGGTGCAGTGCCAGCCCATTCTGCATCTGCACCCCTCCTACCAGTCTGGATGGATATGGTTTCTTCAATTCCATAGTTGTCAGAATTCCATTTAACTGAATTTCTGACATTCCTGAGTGATAGTTGTTCCATGTTTTAGTTGTAATTTTGATGTGGTTGTACATACGAGGAGGTGAGCCATATCTGTCTATGTCACCATCTTGAATGGACTGTCAACTCTTTACAATAACTTACTGTGAATCTTTCTACTTCTTTCCAGCTCCACTGCTTCTACTCTAGTCCGTTGTAACCCTTTTGTCTCTCACCAGACTACTGCCTGAGCTTCCAAATAGGTCTCTTTGTTTCCTACTTCCTTGTAATCTATTTCCAGATAGCAACCAAGACGATTTTCTTTCTTTTTTCTTTTTTAGATTTGCTTATTTTTAGAGAGAGGGGAAAGGAGGGAGAAAGAGAGGGAAAGAAACATCAATTGGTTGCTTCTCATATGTGCCCAGACCAGGGACCTGCTAACCAGGCATGTGCCCTGACTGGGGATTGAACTGGTGACCTTACACTTTGCAGAATGACACCCAACCAGGGCACACAAATCAGGGCCAAAATGATTTCTTAACAAATCAGATCATGCTATTCCTCTGCTTACATTCATACTTAGAAGAAAGTATATACTCCTTACTATGACCTAAACAGCACCTAAGTGATATGACCACTGCTGACCCCACCTCATACCACTCTTCTCCTTTATACTAAGGCCTTTCTTAATATTTTTTCATATAATTCACTGCCATAATAAACTTGTAGGTATATTATACAAAATAACTAATTTCATTACTAATTTTTACCTTGAGCAATTGGCTCTGGATAAATTTTACTTCATTTATAATAAAATGGAAATCTATTTCTAAATATAATCTAAAACAATATTTTGCTAAAATGAAAGAAATATTTCTTCTAATAGAAACACTAGATTTAAAAATAAAAATTACCTCCTAAATTTATCTTTCTTGTCCTTTAAATCATCAACCTCATTGTGTGTGAACACATCAGCTATACGTGTAAGAAGATTTGCATTAATACAGTTCATGTTGCATGGAGTAGCTACTATGGCATTCATATTTTTGTGGCAATACTGAATACATTGTTCAACCTAAAAAACACAGAATAGAAAATGAATGATGAAAATAGTAGCATTTAGGATAATGTCATATCAGTACCTTTCAAAGATAAAATTCATTAAAAGCTTTATACTTGTATTGCTAGGTCCCGCCTGGTTTTGCCTATTTGGGTTATCTACACTGTTCCAAAGTGTTCCAGTGGGCCAAATTTGTACAAACATATATACATAGCTAGAAAAATAATTTTCAACCTTCTTAAAGATGCAATGAGCATCTCTCATGGTTTTGGCAGGTATAAATCTTAGTCCACCAACTCAAATGTACAGGATATCTGACTCCCTATCACTAGACATAGTTACAATTTTAAGTTTCCATTTCTCTGAAGTAGCACAAAACATATTATCGGTGACTTCAGGGTTTTCTCAGTCCTATTATGCTGGTCTCTGACTTTCCTTCCCTTTCTCCAACCTGAGGGTACATTTATTTACTTTTTGAGGTGGGTTTGGATTCTGGGGAAAACTAGCATTCTCTAAACATGTATTCTTCAAAATATTTTGCTTATGGGACTAAGGGTTAGAAATAATACAGGGAACTAGTAAAACCCCAACTATCAAAGAAACAAATTTCATATCCATTAACATAGCAAAGGAGTATTCTGCTCTCTGTAGTTTTAGTAGGGACCAAAAGCAAGTATTATTCAGAGTAAAACCATAAAAACATAAAAAATTTGAATAAGTTCATTAAATAAAGAAAAAAACAAATTTTAATGTTAAAGCTTGATATGTATATGTATATATTGTACTTTCATGTTTAATCAACTACTTTTAAACAACAGACATGAGCATCTCATTTATACATACAAAATTATATTGTTTAATAGTTGGGTATTTGTTCTTAATTCACTCAACTATAAGTGAAAGACAAATTAGCATTAAGAAATTACTTAAATAGTGAAACAAATATATTCCAATTAATTTTCATTTAATTTGGTTTTAGAGCAAACTCTCTTTTAGGGTAAAGTTAATTTTGTTTAGTTTCATCTAATACAAAAGAGAGCTACTTCATGAGGATAAATTGCTTTCCTTATAGGCATCATATACAAATTATATATCATGGTCTCGACTCCTTTCACAACAGACCTAAATATCTTCAAACATGAGCAGTTCATTCTAATGGAATCACACTCTTGCATTAACAATTACTTCAGAAAGATGCCTTAGAATTTTCTAACACTTGAAGAGAAAATCAAGTTAAATGTTAAATCAAGCATAGGTGAACAGAAGAACTTAGATCTTTTATTAATACTTACCAATGTGGGTGGGCTGGGATGGGAGTAAAAGGCAGAAAACTCTAATTGAACAATTAGAATAAAAAAATAAATAAAAATAAAAAACATCCAAAAAAATACTTACCAATGAATCCATTTTCAAAAACTCTGAAGAAATAAGAATTGAAATGGCATTTCCTGGCTCTAAAAAAAAAAAATTAAATTGTCCTTTTGATTTGTACTCTAATGTCCTTAGAACAGGCTCCTTTTCATATGAAAAGAAGATGATACTTTAATAAGACCAATTTAAGATAAACTTACTATGACTTACATATATCAAAGAAACAAAATTCAATGTTCAAACTTAGGGTACAGAGAAAATGCACAGTAAATATTCCTGGAATTAGAGTCACATCAAGTGAAAGGACTCCAGCTAAAGATAAGAAATAGGCAAATTCTCCTTAACTAAACCAGGGAAGAAGATAATTAAAATTGAGAATACGTCACACAAAAATCAGTGAGAAAACTTTTTAAATGATTTAAGGAGAGCCCTTGTTATGAATTATTTCAAAAGCAGTTTACTGCTTGTTATGAACAAATTCTTAGTGAAAATAATTCTGAAAGATAATATAAAATTTACTTCTGAAGAAGTGCTAAAGTTACTTCCCGCAGGCAGATGGAGTGAGCCTTCAGAGGCACAACCAGGGAAAGGGGTGAGCCAGGTAATGCTACTGTTTTAGTCAACCTAAGTCATCTCCTATGAGGTATATTTAAGGGGGAAAAAAAAACCCTGACTTTTACTGTGATAGTACTAAGACAATTCACCTAAAGAATAATAGAATGATTAAAATAAGTAATCCAATCTTTCCTTAAATAACAATTCTAGATTGAAGATTCTCAAACAGAAAAAGTTCCTCAGGAAATTGTAATGTGATCCATTCTAGATAAGCAATGTGTGGATTTTCAGAAATTTAATTAAGCATTTTGGTAGTCATTAGGTTAGAATAAACATTGCTTTTTATAAAAGTTTACATTTCTATTCACTAGTTTAAAGTCAAGGATTACAGTGACTAGTTTTGATCCACTTTTTTTACCTTTGCTATACATATAAATTTGCTGGATCAAACAATAGTTTTTTTCTCTCTACATATTTTGATTTTTACTTCACATGTACATATATCTGGATGGTCTGAAATCTCTGGACTCTGATTGACTGAAATGCTTGATTTAGCAATCTTGTCATTTTTATTTAAGGAAAACTAGCAGCCTTTTCCATTAAATTTCATCATTAAAATGTAATAAATTATAAATTTCCTTAGATAATTTTATACTGTCTGAATAGATTCATTTACTAATGAGAATTTAGAAATATTTTAGTTCTACTATAAATAGCAATTCTAGTGCATGGAAAGACTTTATTAACCCACTAGTGAAAGTTCCTGTACAACTCTATGCCCAATGAAAGATTACTTAGTAATTGTTATTCTTTTCATCTAGAATACTGGTTCTCAAACTTTTGCTCTCAAGACCCCTTGCAATCTTAAAAACTGAGACTCCTAAAGAGCTTTTGTTTATATGGATTATATCTGTTAGTATTTACTATATTAGAAATTAAAACAGAAAACATATTAATTCATTTAAAAAGAAAAATAAACATTATGTGTTCACATATTTTTATGAAAAATAACTATATTTTCCAAAATGAAAAAAAATTATAGAGAAGAACAGCACTGTTTGACATTTTTTGCAAATTTCTTCAATGTCTGACTTAATAGAAGACCACTGGATTCTCATATCTGGTTCTACATTCAATATGTGGGTTAAGTCTTTGATGTTACATCAAAACTTGACAAATGGTACTTCCTTAAGGTTAGTTGTAATGGGATCTGAAATTATATCAATAAACTTTTTCATAATGTTACCTCAAAATCCATTGATTTATCCTGTGATTTGAATCTTTATCCCGTGCATGATTGTCTTAACATCATGCATTGGTCATTTGGAAAATATTCGTTCAATGAGTTAGGTAAATCTTGCAAAGGCTGAAACATTTCATTGTACAATATATTTAAAAAAATCACAAGTCTCATCAAAAAAGGCTTTAAATATTAAGAAACTGTCAAGCACATGAAGACACATATAAGACTTCCAAACTTTAATTCTCACTTGAAAGCTTGAATTTTACTATTGGCAACATATACTAGCAGTTGTTTCCCTTTAGCTGACCAGCTCACTTAATTCATTTTCAAGAAAATATCTGCCAAATGCCTAAGTCTGAATAACCATAATTTGTCTGTCAGTCGTTCTTTCAAGTGAAAATGGTTCTTTTTTAAAAAAGCAACTAGATTAGCTTACAACTCAAACAACTGCACAAGTGTTTTTCCTCACATCGTATTTGGGTATGTAGCAGAAGTGCACTTCCTGCGTCATCTCACAGAATATGAGAAAGATGTAAACTCAAGGGTCAAGACTTAGTATAATTAAAATTTGTACTGCTTCATCAAGGACATTCTTAAGTGAACCTGGATTTTTTTCTTTTCCTTCTTATTATGAGCACATGGTGCTGAAGAATACAGTGACCACCAGCACAGTCTGGTGGTGTCCTGGCTTTGACGTGTGCTAAAAGTGCAAATTTTGCTCTCCTTCATTTCTGCACCTGAACAAATGTCAACATATAGAGACAAATAACATCTTGTGTATTATTATGCAAATTGTCTTGACCTGGTAGATTCTCTAAAAGGATCCTCCGGGACTCCAGTGGTACATGGACCACACCGTAAGAACTGCTGATCTAGAGACCTGTCCATTTGCCATAAATTCATTATAATTTACTAGAAAAGATGAGATATCACTTTCCTAAATGGCAATGACTAATCTGAGTATTAATGCTAATGTTCAGGCGATTTTCCACATTTCATGTTTGGCCTGATGCAACTACCAGGTGATGCATAAGTATAATTATTACAAAATAAGTAATAAATTGTCTTTTACCTAAAGTAGGCATCTCACAATCTTTATTCTCCTTAGTGTTCCTTTTAACGTATTTTATCAACCAGTTGAAAATCTGAACGTCACAATGAACTGAAATGTCCACCTCTTCCCAGCGCTGGGCATCCATAGATAAATATTCAGCAAAATACTTCATTTCTGATATCAAAAGATCTCGTGGGCAAATAAAATCTTCTTTCAAATTTTTTGCTTCATCACATACATGGATCACCATGTTTGGCCTTCATAAAAAACATTATAAAAAATGAAATTATTAAGAGTTTTAGAAGAGGAGCCAAGAATATTGACATGTTTTTGAAGGTTTGACCACAAATCAGTATTATAGGATTTAAGTGTCTTGCTAATCTGATCTATATCTTAGATTATGAATAACTTTAGTTTAACTACTGACTTAATAAAACAAAAGTTTTTACTATGGGACTCATAATTTACAGGGTTTAAATACAGGGTCTGGCAGAAGTAACACCTGGTTGAGTGTGGTTGGTATGGTAATAATATGGGTATAATAATTTATAGTTTTAATTTGAACATTTTACCTAAAATGTCATATGGTGTGCTTGAGTGCGATATTGTTATGTTACAGAATTACATGCTTACAATTTTGTAATAAAATATTTTGTAACAAAAGGGGGCATTATTTGTGCCAGACTCTGTATATTATTTTCAAGTTATAATTATAAAGTTTTAGAGAACAATATCAATTCACCAAAAAAAATCAAATAATACATTCTAATTCTTGTCATGAACATAAAACAGCACTTTTACATGGCTATGGGCCTGGGAAGAAGATAAAGTTAAATACTAAAATTTTCCTACTAATTATAAGTAGAAAAAAATGTTAAAATTATTCATTAAAGAATTAAAAATTATCATGACAACTTACTCATTTTTAACAGCAAGAAAGTTTGCCAGACATTCAATAAATATAAATCAGTAAATACAGTTAAAGAATTCTGAAGACTAGAATGTGGTTATTTACATATTTAAAAAATAATTTGATAAGTTTAGACAATATACCAGAATGATTGCTTTGAAATGATATATATTCCTTGAATTTACTATCCTTTGAAATTTATATTACCTCAGAAAGAATCATTAGTGTGATCCACAAGTGCCTTCATGTCATTACAAAAGGAAAAGATTAAATAGGAAGAGATACATTGTCCTACAGTAGGAATTTAATGTGTGTTTAATTCAACTTGATAAATTTCTAATTAAAAAATTACATTTGTTCTAACCACTATGCCATGCACCTGAAACAAATATAAAATAATACTGAATATCAACTGCAATTGAAAAAATAATACTGAATGTCAAGTGCATTTAAAAATTAAAAGTAATTAATTAATTAGTTAATTACATTTGAAATAAAATTGAGCTATCAGAAAAGGGATTATTAATCAACAGTCTGTTAAAGTCAAAGGAATTTAACTCTTGGCAAATTGTTCTTCCAAAGAAATTATGGTCAAAATATTAACAGGTAATCACTGTTACAATGAAACATAAAGTTTGTGTGACTTTTTGGACCACAATACTAGGTAATTCCAGTAGAGAAATTATCTGATGAAATTTTTCTGCCATACAAACAAACCTATCAGTTAAAAAAATATAAAAAATCTATGTGAATAAACAAAAAATTACTTTAAAAGGGTGATTTTTTTTTACTGTGGAAAATATACATAACATAAAATTTGCCATCTTAGCCATTTTAAGTGTAAAGTCCAGTGGCATTAAGTACATTCACATTGTTGTGCAATCATCACTACCATCCATCTCTGGAACCTTTTCAAAAAAGGTAAAAGTTATGGTATATAAATTATATGGTAATAAAGCTGTTAGCCCTGGCTGGTGTGGTTCAGTGGATTGAGTGATTGAGCACCAATCTGCAAACCAAAGGGTCACTGGTTCCATTTCCAGTCAGGGCACATGCTGAGTTGCCAGATGGGTCCCCAATAGAAGGCGTGTGAGAGGCAACCACACTTTGATGTTTCTCTCCCTCTTTTCTCCCACCCCTCCCCTCTGTCTAAAAATAAATAAAATCTTTAAAAAAATCATGTTAAAAAAATCTGTTATAAAAGAACTATCTAAACTGAAAATACACAAAGGAACTTCCAGAGACAGTGAAAATGTTCTATATCTTCATTTGGATGATGGTTACTTGGTGAGCCCATTTGTGGAAACTCATCAAAGTAAATAGTTAAAATATGTTCAGTTTATTGTATGTAAAATACACAAAATAATACAAAACTATCAAAACCTGTAATATATTGAAAGATGTACTATAATTTTTATTATATTCAAATATATCATTCTAAAATACATATCCAGTTTTTTAAAATAGAGATGGAGAACCAATGACAGATTTTTCTTTGGATTTTAAAATTTACTTTTAAAGTTTTATGTTAATAGATGTTGTTTCTAATATTCACAAAATAAAAGTGAATCTTTTAAATGAAAAACTAGTCCAATTTATAAATAACACAAATAAGTCATATGTTTAGCTATTAAACAATTATTTATAGTTCAATACATGAACTAAACTGATTTCAATTATTTTGGCAATTGTGTAATGTGGTATTTCCTAAATTATGGTAATTGATGTATACAATCACCAATCATATATTAAGTTGATATTCATATTAAATCTTATCTAGCAAAGAACCAGCCTCCTACCCTTCAGATTCTTCAGTCTTTTCTCCACCATTACGAGTAGTACAATTTTCACTTTCTGAAGAACAATTCCTTGTGGAAGCTATACTATGTCTTCCTTAAATACAGAAACAAACACATACAAAAACAAAGGGGGTAGGTTAGCATTTCTAGCTCAGAATAGTTTTCACTTATTGAATGGTTATACTGTAAATGCATGGTTTTCAAGGCTAGTTAAGATGGTACTTGGTCAGGTGGCATATCCCTCAATATTTCCAAAGGTCTATGGAAGAAACAGTACAAAAAAGGGATAACAAATTGCTAATATTATAATGAAGTTAAAAATAAATACTGATGTGGTATGTACAGACAGAGTCAAATGCTCAAAGCTAACAGTATAAATTTCTCTTCCTGAAGTAAAGTTTTATATCAATACTCTGACTGCTGCTGCTGAGACTGAAATAATTCCCCCTACAAAGATTGCTAAAACCAGTTGTTATTTTCAAAGCAAGCGTGGAAACATCTCTTCAGCCCTGCCACTGTGTCATTTAAAGCTGTTGTTGACTGCAATAAAGAGTAGCTGCAAAAAAAATTAACACAAGAAACAAGCAAGATTCTCTTAGTGACAAACAAACAAAAACAAAAACAAAGAAACAATTTAAGTAAAACATATAGATCAAATTCCAAAATTTATGACATTAGTAGGCTAACAGATTGGAGAAGTAAATTTTGGTAAAGAGCTTTTTTGGTAAAAGTATTTCACCTGTATATTAACATTTAAATTTTTTTTCAAATACAGAAAAGACAAATTTCTAAAATTTAAAAAGATACACATACTAGTAGATTTCTCTATTACAGTTTATATTTGCCTTTAAATAAAGAAAGAAAAGATGACTGGAATGTATAATATTTTGCAGAATTAAAGGACAAACACTGCACTTTGCTTTAAAACCTTACCTGTTTTGGAAACTGCATCCTGACCAACTGAAGTCTCCTGAAATTCTCCCTGTGTATCAAGAAGTGAGGATTTGATATATGTTGCCAAAGTTTCGACAGGGTTCTCTCCAGCCATTAGGAGACTATACTGGTTGTCAACAGGTGAACTTCCACTGCTCTTCAGTTCCTCAAACCTTTTTGCGCACTGTAACAATATAAAAAGAAGAAAATGTGGGTCTGGGAGTTTTTGTAATTTAAAAATGAGGATATAAGCCCTGGCTGGCATAGCTCAGTGGATTGAGCGTGGGCTGAGAACCAAAATGTCGCAGGTTCGATTCCCAGTCAGGGTACATGCCTGGGTTGCAGGCCACAGCCCCCAGCAACCGCACATTGATGTTTCTGTCTCTCTATCTCCCTCCCTTCCCTCTCTAAAAATAAATAAATCTTTAAAAAAAATAAAAAATACAAAATTAAAAAAATGAGGATATATAGTTTTGCATACTATTGAGATATTTGAAGATACTTTTCTGTAACTATAATTATTTATTTTTTATTGATTGGTTTTATTGATTAAAAACCACCCAAAGGCATGGTATGTTTATGCTCTTGTAGAAAAATGAAGAATGCCTTTATCAGCCATATTTCCCTGTGGTCTGCTGTTATGATCAATTGACAATTTAAATAATTTAGTAAACAATGGATAATAGTTTTATATTGAGTTTCCACCAGGAATAAGACTAAACTCTAACCTTTAATGGAAACTAAACCAAAAAGTATCTGATTTGTGACACCAGACTTTCTCTATTAAAATAACAAAAGACTTTCTCCTACTAACAATGAGGTTCACCTTGCACAAAATACTTCATTGCCACATATTCGGACATAGTTTGCTCTAGTGCAGTGCTTTCCCTTTACCCATCAGTTAGTCATGAAATCAACTGAGAAGGTCCAGATTAGCCACTGGAAAAAATAAAATAGAATAGATTATAAAATATCAAGAGTGCATTAAGCTAAGTACTCCTTCACAAAAATGTCATTTCTATGTGTGTTCTGGGTGATAACATAAAATGCCTTCCTTACCGTGGGTATTGATCAAACAACACTGCTACAGTATCTGTTTATAAATCTCATCAACATTAAAGTGGATGGTAACTCCCATAGAAGACTAAGTAATTTGGAGATGCAAAAAAAAGAGAGAAAAATATATACCATGTATACGTACATATTAAATGAATAATGCATTGGGTATGGCATCAATCATTTATTACACAAATATTTAACAAGTACCCACTAGATATTAAGCGCTATTTTCAGGAAGCATTATTTACACAGTTACTACCACAAATGCCTATTCAAGTCTTTGAAAAGGGAAGTAACAGTTTTTTTAAAAGGCTTTAAAAGATATGTAAATGTGGACTGAAATATTAGGTAATTGATATTCTCATCTCTTTAAACTAAGTCTTAAAATTAAATAAAAATAAGTAATATGATAAATGAGAAACAGAAAATATTTGTTTATGAGTACTGAAAAAAATACTATTGAAAGTCTGGGAAAAAAGAGAAACATGCTAGAACATAATTAGAAATATGTACAGGTTCACGTGTAGAAGATAAAAGAATATAAATGATATATTACTGGATCCATTTTTCCTACAAAATGAGTTTATTTTTTGTAACACAAAGAAAGTGGAAGGTAACTTTTAAAACACAGATTCTTTTGGTCTTTTAGGTAAAGTTTATAGCTTATTTGGAAACTGAATATAAATAGACTTATTTAACAAAGCTTACAGCAATTTCTAGCAGTTTAAAAACAAGAAAATGATAAACTCTAGATATTCAAAATGAGTACATGGTTGCTTAAAAAGCAAATAAACTATAAAAAATTTAAAATATACCTTTTTTGTATTTAAGCAAAAATTACATATCTATGTGCAAAACAATCAGGTTGAACTCCAACCTCTCTCTCCTTTCTTAAGCAAAAATTACATATCTATTACAAAACAATGAGGTTACCTCACACCATATATAAAAATTAGCTCAAATAGATAAAAGACCAAACATAAGAGTTAAAACTATAAGACTCAAAAACATACAGGTATAAATCAGGTGAGAAGAATTTTCTAAGCATGATGAAAATGGCAGATATCAAAGTAAAATATTCATAAACTTTAACATAAACTTTTCAACATTTGAATATAAGTGGCTATTATAGTAACTTAATAGGCTGAAAACAAACAGAAAAATAAGCTAAAGGGTTAACATACTTAATACACACAAAACTATTATTATACCAGTAACAAATCCAGAAATAGAAAAAGGACATGGAACAAAAAAATATAAAACATTTAACTTCTTCAGGATTTAAAGAAAGGTTATATTAAAATGGCAATGAGACAGCATTTATTAAAAAATATATAAATGAGCCCTGAATGGTTGGGCATTGTCCTGCAAGGTAAAAGGTCGCTGGTTTGATTCCTGGTCAGGACACATGCCTGGGTTGCAGGTTCGGTTCCTGGCAGGGGTACATACAAAGAGGCAACCAACTGATGTTTCTCTCATGTTGATGTCTCTGTGCTTCTCTTTTACCCTCCCTTCCCCTCTCTCCGAAATTAAATAAAATCTTATATATATATATATATGAATTTTGAGAAGACACATACACATAAATAATACTTATATAGAAAGTGCAAGGATCAGGCACTCAGCTATGCTGACTAGAGTATAACATGGATAACCCTTCTGGTGGCAATGTGTAACAAAGCCTTAAAAATGCACAAGCACCCTGATCAAGCAATTCTGCTGCTGAGACTATCCCCTAAAGAAAGGAAAATAAGATGTTTATTAAAGTGGTATTTGTAGCAGTCAAAGTTGAAAATAATAGCCTAACTATCCAAAAAAAGGGACTGGTTCAGAAAATTATGATATAGCTCAAATAAAAGAATAGTATACTCCATCCACTGTAATAGAATTCTATTAATTAACTGACCCATAAAGATATTTACAATATATTAAGTAAAGAAGCATGCAGCAAAAAACTACATTTGTTATAAGTCTACATGAAGATTTCATACATATATAGAAAAGAATCTGGAAGGATATATATAAGGTATATATATACTTTAGCTGAGGTGAAATTAATAAATTCTGATTTTTTGCTATTATCTTTGTGGGTGTGTATTCTTTAAGGACACGTTATGTTTAGTAATAAAAATTATGTAAAAATTAATACTACTTAAAAATGGTCTGATTCACTACGTAGTTGTATTTTGGTTAAAAAAAATCCTCGACTTTCAGTTAAGATGGTGGCATAAATAAACACACTCACCTCCTCACACAACCACACCAAAATTACAACTAAAATGTTATACAACCACCACTTAGAACTTTCAGAAATCAAGCTGAATGGAAGTCTGACAACAATGGAATTAAAGAAACCACATCCATTCATACTGGTAGGAGGGGCACAGACACAGAACAGACTGGTCCCATATACATGTGCAGTGGGTAAATATTCAGGAGGGATATCTTGGGATTGAGAAGTCCCAGCCCCACACCAAGCTCCCAGCCCAGGGTTCCAGTGCCACAAAGATAAACTCACATAAATTCTGGCTGTATAAATTCTAGGGTTTGAGTTGGTGAAAGGAACTACTGGAGTCCCAAGCAGTGCCTCTTAGACAGCCTGCACATGGACTTACTCAGATTCACTCCCTCCGAGCTCCAGCATCAGGGTAGCAGCTTGAAAGCCACCAGTGGCCTACAGGGAGAAACTGAAGTGTCTGGCATCAAGGCAAGAACGGGGGGACAATTTTCTCCCAGACAGAAAAGTAGGCAGAGGTCATTGTCTCTTTTCTGAAGCCTCCCGAAACAGAGCCACAGAGCCAGCAGGCAGGTGCCAGATCTGAGACTCCACTAACCTGGCTAACACTGTTTGCCATGCCCTGGGAGATTTCCTGAGACTCTGTTCCACTCAACTTATGACCACACCCAAGCGGCCCCTGCATAGCTGATCCTCCACAGAGGGCAGAGGTTGGTGGTAAGTGGTCATAGCCAGTCCTTGCAGCTGACTGGCCTGGGTAATTCCCTCCCATTGACCTGCCACCATCAATCAAGGCTCAACTACAAAAGAAGGGTGTACTCAATGCACTGAAGGGCACATCTCAAGTACCAGGCTCGGGTGATAGGGGTGGCTGTGCCACTGGACCCTACCTACAAGGACACCTACTACATTAGGCCACAATACTAAGACAAGGAGTCATAGCAGCTCTACCTAACACAGAAACATAGACAGGAAGGCTGCCAAATGAGCAGGCAAAGAAATGTGGCCCAAATGAAAGAGCAGATCAAAACTCCAGAAAAAGAACTAAACAAAATGGAGATTAGCAATCTATCAGATGCAAAGGTTAAATACTGGCTATGAGGATGCTCAAGGAACTTATCGAGGACCTCAACAGCATGAAAAAGATCAAGTCAGAAATGAAGGATACACTAATTGAAATGAAGGACAATTTACAGGAAAACAACAGTAGAATGGATGAAGCTGAGAATCAAATCAATGATTTGCAACATAAGGAAGCGAAAAACAACTGATCAGAACAAGAAGAAAAGAGAATTAAAAAAACCCCCCAAGGGTACTATAAGCAGCCTCTGGGACAACTGCAAGTATTCCAACATTTACATCATAGGGGTGCCAGAAGGAGAAGAGATAGAGCAAGAAATTTAAAACCAATTTGAAAAAATAATGAAAGAAAAATTCTCTAATTTGGTGAAGAACATAGACATGCAAGCCCAGGAAGTACAGAGAATCCCAAACAGATGGATACAAAGAGGTCCACTTCAAGACACATTATAAATAATATGGGAAAAGTTATAGATAAGGAGAGAATCTTAAAAGCAGCAACTGGAGAGCAGTTAGTTACCAGTTACCTACAGAGTTCCCACAAGACTGTCAGCTGATTTCTCAATGGAAACTTTGCAGGCTAGAAGGGATTGGCAAGAAATATTCAGTAATGAAAAGCAGGTGCCTACAGCCAAGATTGCTCTACCCAGCAAAGCTATCATTTAGAATCAAAGAGCTGAAAAATAGCTTTACAGACAAGAAGGAATTAAAGGAGTTCATCATCAACAAACAATTATTATATGAAATATTAAAGGGACTTATTTAAAAGAAGATCACAACTATGAACAATACAATAGCAATAAATACAAATCAGTCAATGGTTGAATTTAGAGAACAAACTAAGCAAACAAGTGAACAGAAACAGAATGATGGATACAGAGTGCTTTGATGGTTGCCAGATGGGAGAGGACTGTGAGGGAATGGGTGAAGAGGCGTGGAGATTAAGTAGTACAAATAGGTAGTTACAGAATATCCATAGGGATGTATAGTACAGTAGAGGAAATGGAGTAGCCAAAGAATTTACACGAATGACCCATGATTATGAAGAATGGTGTGGGGATTGGATAAAGGGGTAGGGAGTGCTGGGTGGAGGTGGGCAAAGGGGAAAAAATTGGGACAAATATAATAGCATAATCAATAAATATAATTAAAAATCCTCAATTGGGTGATTTTGAATATGCAGTAGATATTAGATGATATGGTAGAGTTATTTTCTTAGGTTTGATTAGGTATTAGGTATTAGGTATTGTGGTTATGTAATACTGTCCTTATTTTAAGGAGATGTATGTTACAGTCTATAATGTGAGGTATTATGATGCCTGAAACCTACTTTTAAATGTCACAAAAAATTACATAAAGAGATCAAATCCTAGAATTGCCAAACCCATATTAAAGGTATAAAGATGGTGTATTATTTTTTCAACTTTTAATGTCTAACATGTAAAAATCCTAAAGGTGATAATGTATAAATTAGGGAGTGATAATATACTCTAAAACATAAGTTTCAACATCATTTCACAAAGACTGATAACTGAGGGCAAGTGATAAGAACAGTTCCTTTTTTTTTTCAGCTGTAAAAAGAAGAGGGTATAACTTGGTTCATTCACCAATTCCACAGTATTTATAATGTATATGATGATGAGTCGTGCAGAGGTGAAAAAGCTTCAAAAATACTGGGAAAAATCACTGATATCATTTCTACTTCTAGAGCTGTGAGATGATTCACCCACTGCAAGATTCCTTTTAATAGCAACAATTCTAAGGTCAGTGTTTCTCAAGCCTGGGTTCATTGACAAATGATCAGAAATCAAAGAGTTCCCTATAGAAGTTTTTAGATTCTAAGTTTTTATTCTGAGTATAATAATATTAATAAAATCCTCTAGATCATCACAATAACAGATTATTTCACTGCCTATTTGCTGTCTGTTTATAAGTAAGATTGTGCCAAGAAACATTTAAATTGTCCAAGGCTAATTTTAAAAAAAGACAAAGGTAGGGAAGGGACTTGTAGGAGAGGTGCAATAGTGGCAAGGCAAGGCAAGTAATGTTATTGTGCAATGTAAGGCTTCATTAGTAGGTTAAAGAGAGAAAAGTGGAGAAAGAATGAAGGCTTTGAATGGCACATGGCAGTCATGGCTGCATGCAAAAAATTCTGTGCCACAACAGACTGCACAATATTTGTGTAATAATCAGCAATTTAATTTCAGGAAAAACATTAAACTTATCATATTAAGTAAGCATTATTAGTTTGAATTGTGTTGTTTTTAGTTTTTACTTATGTCTATAATATGTAAATTAGGTTTATGGTGGTATAGGCGTGTTTATACCTAGTACTGTTAGAACTCATTTAGTTTATTGTATGTTATGATAAAATAATTTAAGTCAATATTGGGAGTTTTAAGTTTTTTCCTTTAAATAGTTGAATATTACTCATAGCATTATGTGTTTAATAATGTAAAATATTATTTACAAAAATTTTATCTACCCATAATTTCACAGGAAACCCTCTATTGATTAAGATATTGTGAGTGAATTTTCAGGTGTATAAACATGTAAAACAGATCCTTTTTTCTCTCTGCTTGTTCCTTGAAATTGATAACTTTTGCCCCAGCTGGGTAGCTGAGTTGGTTAGAGCATCCTCCAGATACACCAAAAGGTCACAGGTTCAATCTCCAGTCAGGGCACATACAAGAAGCAACCAATAAATGCATAAGTGAGTGGAACAACAAATCAATCTCTCTTTCTCTTTCTCTCTCTCCTCCCTTCTTCTGCCTCTTCTTCTCTCTCTCTAAATATCAATCAATAAAAATAATTTTTTTAATGGTTAAAAAAATAAATAAAGAAACTGATCACTTCTGATTTTTTCAGTAGAGACTTGTGAGACTGTTATTTACCTCTCTGGGTGTTAACCCAGGTACAAGCCTTGCCACAGTTTCCCAGTTAATGGTCTGATGGATTCCAGTTAATGGATAAAGGATCATGTCCAACACCATTTGGTTGTTATTGTTCAGGAAATTGTTGTTTTCTGAATATCCACGACTCATCTTTTGCAACTATAGATAGAAAAGACAGATTTATTTACAAATGTTTTTAGAACATTATAAATCAGTTGTAATTCATTCCTAAAAATTATCTACTACTATGTAAAGGAAAAATGAAACTGATTTAACACAAAATATATAGCTCAAACTCTTCAAATATAATAGTATTTTAATATCACAACTTAGTGGATGGATGGATAGAAGGATGGACAGATAAACATGTGATTAAAAGTATAATACAAAAAATATATTTTTTACTAAATTTATTGGAGTAACATTGATTCATAGGGTCATATAGGTTTCAGGTATACATTTCTATGATATATGATCTGTAAATTGCATTGTGTGCCCACCACCCAAAGTCAAATCATCTTCTGTCCCCACAGAATTGTCTCCCTTTACCCTTTTATTAGCCCCCCACCCCCTTCCCTCTGGTAACCACCATGCTGTTGTCTGTCTGTGTCTATGAGTTTCAATTTTATATCCCACATATGAGTGAAATCATATGGTTCTTAGTTTTTTTCTGACTGACTTATTTCACTTAGCATAATATTCTCAAGATCCATCCATGTTGTCACAAATAGCAGTATTTCATCTATCATCAGGTGGTAGATATAATAAAGTTATCCTACATGTATCTGCATGAGTGTTAAAAAGAAGTAAAAAAAAACATTTAGTACTCTAAAATCATAGCTTTTTAGCAACCAGGGAGTTACCCTGTTAATGGGCAAGAATCACATTGTGAATATGAATATAGACTTTGAAGCCAAATTTCCCAAATTTTCAATCTGGTTCTAGCACTTAGTATTATATGGTTCAGATTACTTATTTCTATGCCTCAATTTCCTCATCTGTAAAACAAAAAATAGTGGCTAGCCCTCATACTTTTGAGGATGGACGGAGCTACCTAGCACACAGTATGGACTATATGTTTGTAGTAGCAACATTACCTACCAGAGATCTTCAGATTAAACAAATCGTGTGGCAGATAAAATGCGGCAGATAAAAGAGACAGCAACTTTTCAATGAAGTACACTCTTGACAAAATAAATAGAAAGTCACATCTAGATTCTTATCCACTTTTTACCACTTTCAGTGGTCTCAGCTATAATAAAATAAAATAATACCTACCTTTAGAGTTATGGTAAGGATTAAATAGCAATATATAAAGCACCCAGCACACTATCTGGCACACAAAAGGTGCTCAGTAAATAATTTATCTCCATTATTTGAGAAGTATGTTAGGGCATGGGGTATTCTTTTAATCATTTCTTTGGGCCTTAGTAGAAAACAGTCTAAAACAGAATTCAGGGCAAGGAACTGGGTGCTTTTTTTTCCCCCCAAATTATTTAAAATTCCAAAAATATTTAATGTGTTCTTCAATGTGTAGGCACCTGTTAACTTATAAAAATACTGTTCAAATACTTAAAACTTGTATGTATATTTCAAATATAATATACATGTTTAAAAATAAGAATAATTTAAATCATCTAGATGTGAAAATTTTTTTCTGTTAACATTTTCTTTATACAACTGAATCATACCAAGCAAACAACCGGTGCCCAGTATTAATTCCAGTTAAATGAATGTTTAAGAAAGCATCTCTTCGAGTCTGCATGTAAGTACGACAGGCCTAGCATTGATGGATAGTCCTTAATAACACATAAACTCTCAGAACAGATGTCATAGTGCATCCCATTCTGGGGAAAAAAAAAAGTACAGACTTATCAAAAACTGCGACAAAAAGAAAAGTTTGAAGCTCAGATTACACTATCACTAAATCTAGCCCTATCCATGACAAAATATATTTTAAAAGTTAATGTTTAAATTGAAATGTATTTACCAGAAATAAAAAAAAAATCTGTTTAATACACAACACATTTTAAGAATGTACTTTATGTTCTCTTCTCCATTCCCACAAGCTTGGTGTATTTAAATGTATCTGTAAGACCAATCTAAGACCAACATAGGTCCCCGACTGACATCTGATTCTGCTTTTCTGAAACTGAGAAGGGCTGTAGAGACAATTTCCCCTAAGCAGTGCTAAGGTGGGAAGCCAGGGGGGCCGGGCGGGCAGGTCGAAGGCCTTTGGTGGGAGGTACCACCGAGTCATTCGGCACCAGGGGAGAAGCCTGACCTCAAATGCGAGCGGAGACGGTTGGCTTTCGTTAGGAAGGAGAACGCAAAATAACATTAGAAACCCAGGATGAATAGTCCGCAGCCCTGCAAACCTTCAGCCCAGGGAGTCCCTGCGCCGCGCGTCCTCGGGGTACCCCAGGCCCTCTCCGTCTCCCGCTCCACCTTCATCCCCCGCGGTGCTGAAACTCTCCGGGCCCGGAGCCGGTAGGGAGCGGACAAAGGCGTCGGGCGGAGGGATGAGGCTGTGGGGACAGAAGCTGGACTCCCTCGGCAGGTGGGCGGGCGGGACGGGTTGAGGGGGACGAGGCGCAGGCAAGGCTAGCGGGCTGCGAGCTGCGCTGGCGGGCGTTTGGGCTAGGGGACCGCGGCCGGCCCGGCCCGGCAGGGGTGGAGGCCGCGCAGCGGGATCGCGCTGTCTGGCAGCGGAACCGCCCCTCGTCGCACTTCCCGCCCGCGGGCCGGCGCCGGAGACCCCCTAGGCATCTTGCTCACCTCAACAGGGCCGCGGCGGTCCTCGCAGCACCTCGGTCACCTGTGGCGGCCACCTTTGCCAGCGCTCCGGCCACGAAGCTCCCGCGAACTGACCCGCAGCCCTGCCGCCGCCCTCACTTCGAGCCCTCACGCAACGCCCTGCGCGGCTTGGAAACCAGCGGCCGCGGGCCGGGGAGCGCCAGGCCCAACAGCGTCCCACCAATCGCAGACCAGCGCCACAGAGGGCGAGCCAATGAGCGACGAGCTCCTGTCAGGCAGGAGGGAGCCGAACAAGTAGCTGCAGCTAGCGGTTACCACGGCCCTTCCCCTGCCCCCTCTTGGTGTTCACTCCTAGGCTTGTCGCAGTGCAGCGACCCCACCCTCCCAGCGTCTTGCCTCTTAGCAACCAGACCTTCGAACCCGAGCTTAGGTGACCAACTCTGAGTCCAGAAGAAAGGGGGAACACGGGAGAGATAAGGAACTCGTATAAAGAATGGATGAAATGGTTTTCGGTCCAGGTCATTTTGGTATAGCTGCTTAGGTTACGTATGTGGAATGGCAAAACTGTACGATCTGAGAGACACAGAGTATCTTGGGTTAAGCATTCTTTTTCAGGAGGCTTCTCTTGAAAAATGTAAATAACTCTGGGTTACAAATTGAGTTGTATTCACATTAATAGGTTCAGCATGCGTGTGTTATTGTGATTACCACTGGGAACTTAGTAAGATATGTAAGGCCCAGTCTTGTAAATACTACATGTCATATTTTAAATTGTCACTTGGAATGTGCCTATTCTGAGAACCAAAACTAAATGTTAGAATCAGAAAGGACAGAAAAAGTAAAGCCCTATTCAAATGAATAATTATATAATGAGATCTGATGATAAAGTAGCTAACTGCAGAAAATAAGTTTTTTCTCCAATTGTATCACCTGTGACTTTCTGCAAATCTTTTTACTAGTTTTGTTCCATGATGACATTAAAGTTAGGAAAGTTTTGTCCCACAAATATATCAGTTAAGTACATTCTTTTTTAAAAATTTATTTTAGAGAGAAAAAGAGGGGGGAAAGACAGAGAGAAGCATTGATTGCTGTTGTTGCACTCATTTATGCATTCATTGGTTGGTCCCTGCATGTCCCCTGACTGGGGCTAGAATCCACAACCTTGGTGTAGGGAGATGACATGCTAACCAACTGAGCTACCTGGCCAGGGTGAAGTTAAGTAAATTCTAAAGTGAGGCTATTTGCTCTCTACTTCCTCTTTCTCCTTTCACACAGGCTGGAACCTAGTTGTGATGGTGGTGAGCCAGCTGAACTCAGGAGAATAAGGACCCCTAACAGACTGAACAGCAATAACATAGAAAGAACTGAGGCCATGAATTACCATGTAAAGCAAAGCTGACTCACAGGCCTTAGACAGCCTACCTCTGGACTATTACATGAGAGAAAAGTGTTTATCTTGCTTTAGCTACAGTAATTTTTGACCTATTTGTTTCAGAAGCTTAGTGGAGTCCCTAAAAGGGAAAGTTGTTTGTGAAAGTGGTGTGCTATAATAACAGATCTAAGATCTATATGGCATTGACAGGTAGAAACATATTGCAGGCTGGAAAGTGTCACCTGTGTTAACTTGGAAGGCAGATTATCAAGCTCTGAGGGGAGTAGTTGAGAAAATGTCAGAATGTAAGTTTGTGTTGGCTACTGCTCCTTGCTTTTAGCAAGGTTCAACAAAAAGAAATGAATTAGCCAGTTTGCAAACAAACACATTAGAGAATAGAGCTCTACAACTGGACCCCATCCATAACATCTGCTCCAGGTGTTGTGCCACATATTAATCTCTGGGGGATTAATTCAGGTGCTTAATCTTTGAAGGTTATTCTCATCTGTCTCCAGTCTTTTCTAGAACGATATTCATTTACAGAATGACAGAGCCAGAAAGGAGCCTTGAAAAATCAACTTCTTCCATCTTTTCATTTTAAAGTCAGAGAAAGTTTATGTGACTCTTTCCAGTCCAAATAGCCAACTCACTAGACTCAATGACCTTTGACCAAGTAAGAATCTTTCTTTGGCATTGTGCAGATATTCCTTCCTGAGGTCTTCTATGCAGACTGGGAAACTTAAGTGTCTCACCTACGTTCCCTTCCTCATCAAGTCTAACTCTTCTGTGTTCATAAGCTTATCTATCCCTCTATCAGGTTCAGTATAGACTAAGTTGCATTAACAAAGAGATCGTAAACACAATACAAGTTTATTTGTCTCTTAAGTAACAGTAGAGGTGGTAGTACAGGGATGGCATGGCCGCTTTGTCATCCTTTACGCACAACTTCCATTGTGGCATCTGAAGTGGCTGCAAAATGTCCACTCATTTCCACATCCCATGGAAGAAATGGGAGACAAGGCAAGAAATGCATGCCCCAGGACTTTAAAAGGCATGACCCAAAAGTCACATATATCATTTCACTTATATGCCATTGGCTACAATTTAACCATAAAGGGGGAGGCCAGATAATGAAGGCTCCATTTGAGTAGTTGTGTACCCAACTAAAAGGTAAGAATTACAGTTTTAAATTATGGGACAATGAATATTGGTGGCCAATTAACCATCTCTACACAAAAGTCTAGTTTCAACGATTATATGCTACCCAAGCCTTTATTATTGACTTCACTAAACTATTTTTGAAACATTTCTTTTTTTAAAAAATATTTTATTTATTTATTTATTTATTTATAGAGAGAGGGGAAGTGAAGGAGAAAGACAGGGAGAGAAACATCAGTGTGTGGTTGACTCTCTTGCACAGCCCACTGGGGACCTGGCCTGCAACCCAGGGACATGTCCTGACTGGGAATGGAACCAGCAACCCTGTGGTTCACAGGCCGGGACTCAATCCATAGAACCACATTAGCCAGGGTAATTTTTGAAACATTTCTAACTAATGAAATATAAAACAAAAAAGGAACTCTATCAGCACTGTGAAGTACACACACAGAAAAATGTTTATGGATAAAAGTCAATAAAAATCAATCAATCAATAAATAAAATGCCTTTTGGACTCCAGCTGCTACCAAACACTGCTGCAGAGCAAGATTTTAAAACTAAACATAACTTTCTTCATGACAAGGCAGAGTTGTATAAGACAACAAAAACAAAAAATAATGTGGAAAAGTAAAGACAAAGCAATAAATATATTTCCTTCATCTGCTTCAAGGTCTGAAAGAAATCAGATAGGTGTGTTGGAGGCCATGTTCACTTCCCCAAAAAGTCTGTTACTATATCCCAGTGTGGAGTTCTTTTTACCACTCAAAAATGGAGGCCCTGTTCACAAAACCCACTTAAATTGGTATGACTCATGCTCAGACTGAGTCCTACATGGTGTCATCACATATGTGTTTATGTGTGTGGCAGTTCTATGGCTAACACTGTAGAATCTTGACTGCTTACTCCTGAACAATATTATCTCCTTTGTCCCACAGTACCTGTGCTAGTAAAGGGTAGAGGTAATTTTCTGATCTTCTAATAGGCTGCTACCAGAGAATACCCCTGCTTCTAAAGGGCACTATCCCACCTAATCCCCTTAGTAAGTCTGTAGTCCTTAAAGACAGCTCTTGATTCAAAACTGAATCTTGATAACCTGCCTATTAGCAAGTGCTTACCACCTTTAACAAGAACCCTTACTATATGTCAGATGCTCTGCTAAGTGCTCAACACAGAATCCCCTCAACAGCTCAATGAAATTGATATTATTTAGAGCTTAATAAATATTAACAAGTTTCCAATGGAAAATGTATTAAACATTTATATCAATAAATTTATTTTGGTTGGCTTTTAAAAATTTGTGTTTTTACATAGAAATGGAAAAACAGTAAAGTAGTATATGTTTGATCATTAATACAATGGTTGAGGAGTGGATTTTTCAAATCAGTTTATGAGTTTAGTTGCCATGTACCATATATGAATGAAAATTTTCAAACAATATTGACATAGACTATAAAATTCTAAAACTAGTTATAAACATATCTATTTTTTTTCTGTGAGTCAGGAGGCACTTAGGAATCTTCATAAACCTTAAAGCAGAAGTTCCCAAATGTCTGTCTTAGTTTAAGGACCTGTGAGGACCTGAGGTAGATGGGAAAAACATTATGAAATGTACATGCTTGCTGATTTATTAAGTTTGTTAGTAGAAATTATGCCTTTTCTACTTTCTGGTGTTAATATTGTTTCTTCATTTCTGGTTTCTCCTCATACCCCATTGAGGGTATTGAGTTTCCCAGTTAATTTTAAGCTAAAGATTAGTTTTCACAAAATAAGTATTAAACAAAACATATCAAAGAAACAAAAACACACATTTACTGATTTTTTCACAATGTAAAACTTGAATTAATTGGCTATGCATGTCTGGAAATTGGAGGGAAGTTCTAATTTTTGATATTGTGCTGGGCTACATGTGTGGCTCTCCTGCTGAATAAGTAAGACCCTGTCTGGGATACACACATTAAAGCATTGTGAATCTCATAGGAAGTTGGGGACAAGCAAAGATTATCAAAACCAGTGAACTGGGAACTGCAGGCAGAAGGGAGGAGTTTGGGGGCCTTGAAGGGTAGATGCCCAAAGCTGCCAGGAGTCTGAGCTCTGGGCCAATAAGTAGAGTGAGGGTGAGGAGAAACTCATTCTGGTCTACTTTTGCAGGTTAAAACAGGGTTACATGGATGGGCTCATTGAAGTGACTCTTGGACAATGACCAGAAAGTTTCAGAAGGGGGCCAAGAGGATCTCTGGGAGAGTGTCCTGATATAAGAAAAACTATGTACAAAGGTCCTAAGGTGGAAGCATGCCTGGAGTATTAAAGTAGCTGCAAGGAGGCCCATGCAGACTCCTGTGAGGAAAGTGGAAAGGGGAGAGTCGAAGGGGGTTGGATGGCATAACCACTTGTAGACCACTGCAAGGACTTTGATTTTTTTACTGAGTCGAATGGGAAACCACTTGAGGGAATTTAGCAGAGGAGGTTGCAACATGTGACAGGTTTTTTAAAAAAGGAATACTCTGCTCCTGTTTTGACAACTGACTACAGGTCTTGTGAGGTAAAGGCAGAAGCAGGGCGACAAGTTATAGGCTATTACAATAATATATGTGGGGTGAAAGTGAGAGAAATAAGATGGGTTCCAAAGTTTCTGGCTTAAATGAATGGAAAGGTATAGTTGTCTTTTACTGACACGGAAGAAAATAGAAGAGAAACAAGTTTTGAAATGAAGGTCGGGATTTTTAAGCATACTAAACTTTAGA